GCAAAATTGGGTGCTGTGGGACGGACAGGCAGAATGTTCTTGGGTTACATTTGAGTTTGGATCAAAATTCCTGGCCCAATTAAATTTCTAATTCAGAGTTCAAAGACTAGAATGAGCGCATAACAGTAGAGCACTCGTGTAAGTGGAGCTCAGTGAGTGTGTGTGATCATGCTGAAGGCCAGAGACATCAGAGGGTTTCGGCTCGGGTCAGAGGTCATACTGAGCACTGGCGTCTGTTCAGTTTATGTCCCAGCAGAACCCACAGGTGCCAACAGCATAGAAAATGAACATTTATGAGAAACAGGCTTTGTCATAGTAAGATCTAAGCGCTTAAGTGTGTGTGGGTGCGTTTGCACCTGTGTCCTCTCTTCAGCAGTTGTTGCCATGGCGTGTGGTCAGGCCTTTGGGAGGCAGGCTGGGCAGGAGGTGCCAGATGCCTTCCACCATCAGAGTCAAAACCTCCTACCTTTACAGTCAACAGCTTCATGGAACTGAAGAGAATCCTGAGCTGCGGGAGGTGTAATTGGCTCACTGTGTATGCTTTATTGGGAGGGGCGAATGTCTGTGAGCTGTGGTTGCCATATCTATCATCAAAGCTGTTTGAAGGTGTCTGCCCTTCAAACCTCTGCAGAGAGGTACTCTTTAGTGTGTTTTAAATTGTATAGCATAGCCACTGGTCCTCTTTTCAAGATATTGTATTATTTGATTAAATATATGTATTGGAAAATTGGAATCACTGTTTTCAATAACATAAAACTGATGATGTCTTGCAGATACATCAGTATGTACAAAAGATAATGATTCCAAACAGTGGTGTCAAAATGAACACATTAATAATGCATTAACCTGATACATTTTTTTTTTAGTTTGACCCTCTAGTTGACCCATAGTTCGAACTTGAAGCCCAGATAATTGGACACTGTGGCGAAGACTCTGCAATCTGTTATCCTCTCATTTAAATTCAGCTTTTAAATATTTCCATTGAAAAAGTACAAAAAAAGTTTTCAGCTACTACCATTCTGTGTATTTGTTTGTCACTAAACTATGTCGACTTTTAGTTTGTAATTATCATTTACAAACAAAATACACAGCTCATGCCAGCAGTATCCATAATGGGAGGATGCCTAAAAATTGTAGAAATTAATTGCTGTTGAAGAACATAGTTTTGTAGATGATTCTATATTAATTGCAAAAGCTATGTAACATTGAGAATGAACTTAAAATAAAATCATCCAGATTTTTTCTTATTTGAAAACTGGTGACCAGTGACTGGTGTCTTGCTGGGCTAATAATAAGTTATAGACATTACTATAAATACATAATTATAATGTATTATTTAATAACATTTGCTATTTTTGCCATGCTGTAATTTCATTTTGTTCCCAAAATACTTTAAATTGTGAATGAACCATGGATTTACATTTTGATATCTAGTTTTTAACATTTCAGTCTACACTATATTAGTTATTATCGAATAACTATTGTATATTAGTTATTACTGAATAATTAACTGTGAATACTGGAGGTAATTCCAAACTTTTGAATGGTAACTTAGTAATGCAACAACAAAATATACACTCAGAGTTAGCCAGTGCTCAGAATTGCCAGCATAAGTAATGATTCTGCTCTCGGCCTCTTAACTGTAATTGGAGCTCATTAAGATGTTCAGTCTGGCTGCTGCTCAGATGTTGGCAAAAATCAGTAGTTATTCCGTCCGTTACCATGACTTCAGCTGGAGCACCCTGTAACTTTTTCCATCTAAATCTTTTTTTCCTCTCTTTTTTCTTTTTACCAGTTTCTTTAAATAGAATTAATCAAATGTCATTGACTTTTGTACAACATTAAAGGCAGTTTTGGAAAGATTTGACTGATGACATAAACAGTGAACATTTAACAAGTAAGCTGTAAAAAACAGCTTCTATTCTGTGCATCATCATACTGGCTCTCTGGCAGCCACGCAGCCACGTGGGGTTCCATGAATGACTGCACTTTCTAACTCTGCAAGCCAGCACCACATTACCAGCTGTTGCCAATTAAGCTCCTTTGCCCTCTCTGCTTCAGCCAGTACAGAAGGAATAAGAGGTCTGCTCTCTTGCTTTCTGCACAAAGCACTATGCAGCCTTTCTCTCTGCAGAGCGAGTTTTGGGGTTAAACGTTCAGAAGGAAAAGGTCTGCAGCACTTGCGTCACTCTTGTGTTATGGCAGCTTTAAGTGGCGGAGGCATGAAAAGGGCCTTTATTCACACTTCAGTGTATTTTATATGCAAGGCCTTAGACACAGTTAAAAATATACTTTTGGACATTTTCAAATGTCTTTTTTTCCACTTTTATCCCCAATTTAGCCATCGCCAAAACAGCTGTAGGATGTCTCTTGTCGTATAGTGACTGTTAGTGCTTTTATAGTGAGTGCGCTGTCAGAGAGAATTGATTTGGCACAGAGAAGGCCTGTGTAATGCATGAATTAGTGTGCATTCAGAGCCTTTTGCTCAGGTGCGCTCTGTAGGAATGCTCAGTGCTGCCTTGTCAATATGTGTCTCCTCACTGGAGGTAGAGAAGGTCTGATAGCAACAACAAAGTGAGTCAGTCCTGAGCTATCGTCACTAATGCACAGGAAATGCTTTTGTTGGGAAAAACTAATCGAATTTCTGTAATGGGAATGCATCCTTCATGCTCACTTTCCCTCGTGCAGCACCAGCCAAAGCACGTGGAGGGGTGAAGAGCTGCATGTTCATTGCTGACTTTGTGGACTACAGCAGTAATATGACTACAATAAGAACTTCAGAGTGTCTCAATTAAGGATACGTGACATGGACAAAGAACTAGTTTTGTGATTATATTGCTACATATTGTGATTTATATACCTTGCAACATATTTACGTAAGTATGAGTGAATCATTAATTTAGCAACAGTGTTCCTCCAATATTCATATTAAACTGATCTGTGTTGTTTTAACCAAAACAATTTCCTTTTTTTGATTAAATGAATGCATTGATCTATCAAGACACCCACAGAAACACTTCTCTGGAACTGTTGGTCAAGATACTTAGAGCACCCAGTAGAGCACACTGTTATTATTTAGAGAGCACATTTGCACATTGCAGCTTTCTGCAGTGGCACTACTGCAAAATCAGGTGTCACAATACTGATTAACAAAAGAAAGATTGTACAGCCCTATTCTCACTAGTCCATTTAGACTAGGAAGGTGTGTTTTTGTCAAGGTAGAAGTTTCAAAACATTGGTTGCACTATATTAGCAAATATTACGTTATTAAAAATGAACCGTTACCCTTTCCCCCTGTTCTTGAATGGTCAGGACCCTCACAGGACCACCACAGAGCAGGTACTATTTGGTCTGTGGACCATTCTCAGCACTGCAGTGACACTGATCACTGCATGTTAGTGTGTGTTGCACTGGTTCGAGTGGATCAGAATCAGCAGTGCTGCTGGAGTTTTTAAACAGTGTCCACTCACTGTCCACTCTAATAGACACTCCTGCCTTGTTGGTCCACCTTGTAGGTGTAAAGTCAGAGACAATAGCTCGTCTGTTGTTGCACAGTTTGTACTGGTCATCCTCTTGTCCTTCATCAGTGGTCACAGGACGCTGTTGGGTGGATATTTTTGGTTGGTGGACTATTCTCAGTCCAGCAGTGACACTGAGGTGTTTACATACTCCAGCAGCACTGCTGTGTCTGATCCACTCAGACCAGCACAACACACACTAACACACCACCACCACGTCAGTGTTACTGCAGTGCTGAGAATGATCCACCACCCGAATAATAGTGGTCTTGTGGGGGCCCTGATCATTGAAGAACAGGGTAAAAGGTGGTAACGAAGTATGCAAAGAAACAGATGGACTACAGTCTGTAACTGTAGAACTACAAAGTGCACCTATATAGTAAGTGAAGCTGATAAAATGGACAGTGAGTGTAGACACAAGGTAGGTGTACCAAATATAGTGCTCAGTGAGTGTATATTTAACATAAAATTACACAGAAGCCTTTGCCCTAATTACACAGATGTTTGTGACTCTGCCTTTTGGTTGCATTTTCTGCTTCTTGCAATCTAAGTAATCCCAAACACATTCAGTGATGTTGATCTCCTCAGTAATATCAATATAAAAATGAACAGCATTGCACATTTTGACCAGAAATAAATCAATTAAGGGTGGTCTTTGACTTCTGCATGTACATGTAAAATATCAGATTTGCCCACAATTTCCATATCGGTGCATCCTCACTCTTCAGGATAAGTTTAATTTGTGTTCTTCTAGTACTGTAAAGAGATGTAGTTAATTACAGTAATTATTACATTTTGTTCCATTTGGGAGGCCATCTGGACCAAAAAATACTGCCATAGTTTGATTTTTGAGAAAGTCTATATTCTGACTAAAGGAAATTGCACTTTGCACTTAGTAGCGAATAGACCCAGAGTTCATGACCACTGCATCAGACTGAATGTTGTGCTGAAGTCTAGTGTTTGAGGTTTGAATGAAGTGAAGTGATTGCATTAGTGGAGCAGGATTTGTTCTCATGATTTAGAGAGCTATAGGGTACTTTAGGGGAAAAAGCAGGAAATTTCCAGCTGCCGGAGGCGAACACTGGGTCACTATTCTAGATGTAAATTGAGTCTTTATTCTTCCAGAGGAGTGACACATTGGAATGCTGCACACTGATACAGACATGGGTGGGCTCACTGGATTCCACTCATAGCACCCCCCCCTTCTCTGCCACTTATCACTTTTTACAGTGTTCCCACCATATCAGGCATTTGTTATGGGTATGTTGTCTGGTCTGCTGCTAAAACAATGTGCACATGCTTTGGATACGCTAACTGAGCCATTTATCTAAGGACATTTGTCATTTCTGCTTTGATTAGGCAACATAATCCTTTTTTTGCTTCAGTGCAAGTACTGGAATACTTAATCTGAGATGCAGTTAATGAAGCTGTTTATGACTTCTTATATTGACAGTGCATGTGTGTTTGTGTGTGTTTGCATAGGATGGGCCAGTCTGGAGGTCAACATGGAGGACAGGGTGGAGGTCTTTATGGACGAGGAGGCAAACATCCGCTGCATGTACAGCTCGGCTGCACCTGCCAGTTCATTGACGATACAATGGTTTGTGGTGAGTCAGAAAGTTCTCCCAGAGACATCATCACTTGAGGAGAGACTTCACTGGTAGAAATATGATTGGGTTAGCTTAAACCACACATCATGAATATACCTGTGCTAGTAACAGAATCCCCTTATTTGGATTACTGTGAGGGGAAATAACTGTGGGTAAACTGTTAAACCAGGTGTTAGCGCCCTGTCTCAAAAGTACTTTTATTAAAGTGTTGCATTTCTTTATTTATTGTTTTTTTTTTCCTCATCTTTGATACTATATCGTATCAGCGCTGATACTGGCACAAAAAGCAGGGGATACAATGGGGATGCGAAGGGGATACAATACCTATGACCAATACCATGAAGCAGGTGAGCTTCTGAATGTTCACACATGCCAATGGACTAAACTTAACAACACATCAGCAGAGTGGGTTGATAAGCAGCAGTAAAAATGCTCATGGCAAAATCTGTACTGCCAATATTTCATAAGAATGCAAATAAGCCAGTTAACAGCATACAAACAGTAAGTACAAAACTCGCTAAACACCCTTACCTGAATGGCTGAGCTATGGTCCTTTCAGTAATCACTCATCTTCCGCTTTGTAGTCAGTTACAGTGGTGTGATGACAGCATTTAGGTGGTTAGTACTTTTGGTTTAGTAGTGAAAGTCGCTGCTATTGACAGCATGAATGACTTATATTTGCTAAACTCCAGCAGTGTCTGATGCTTGGAAATGTAAGTGCGATTAAATGGGATACAAATATGACACAAACGACATTCAGATGTGGAGAAGCTGCTGCATTTTTACATAGACACAACATAGGTTTGACTATTTTTTGTGCAATAAAAATATTTTACATGTGCTTCACTTGTTAAAAAATGGCTCTCTATTTTTACTATTTATATAGTAAATAAACAAAAGTAGTTTGCTTAAGTATCTTAAGTGTCTAACATATAGAACAGGTTTCCTGATGTACATGATCTAAAATATAGATCAGAGTATGCTATGAGACACAGAACAAAGCTTTTTTACCAAAATAAAAATTGGAATTGTATAAATGTCAGCACTTATAAGCTAGTTTGGTTGGATAGAGTTATTATCAGTATTAGTACTCTGTATCGGCCAATAGTAAAGTATCAGGTATCAGTATCACTGTTGAAGGGAAAAAGTGGTATCAGTGCATCCCTAACTGCTACTAATAATAGCAACATTTTTCTTCTGGTAATTTTGAGATGGTTCCTAACTCTGACACAGGAACAAACAGTTGCCTCAGTTATTCCGTACCGGGCACAGGCCTAATCACTGAGAGTGTATTGTGGGAAATCTCGCTCGGCAAAAGACACCAGCCTTATTGGTAAAAATCTAACCAGTAAAAAGCCCCTCGCTGTGGAGGTATGTGCATTTGTAGTAGCTGGATCGACCTGACAAATGTTTTTTAAAGTTAAATGTTTTTTAAGTCAAAGATCTTAAATTACTTGTTACTTTTATCATATATCAACAGTGATTACAAATATATCTTTGAAATTCTGGCTTCAGTTTCCAGTTTACAGGTCTCTCTCCATTTTTGCATATTTCTGCAACTAAAGGCAGTTTTAGGTCCTGACAGCGGATTTTTAGATTAACATTTGATTGACATTTTTAGTATAAAGAATAGAAACTATTTTATTAATGTCACAACAAATGTTAACAACTGTTGCTAAATGTAAAGAGCTAATGTAATTAATGAAGCAAATACCAGTTTTATGTACCACATCTGTCATCTTCAGCCTTAAGTCAAATGCATAAAGAGAAGTTGGTGAAACACAATTTCATCTTTTCAGTTGAAGCTGCATTGTATAAATGGTAAATCAAAATATATTTAAATAAATGCTATTGTTGATCAATGATTTATATATTTTCATTAAATGTTTCTTAAAATACTTTGATAGGAAGTTAGAGCACAAACTGTTTATTAATCTTGTTAAGAAGCTAATATAATCTAATATAACAAGCTATACTATTCTCCATTTATACTAAAAAACAGACCTTGCCAGTAAAAACCTCATGTCGCGTTAAGACAGTTTTAATTCAGCTTTTTTTTAAAATTATTCTTTAAATATATTTAATTCCAGTCAAAATAGCCATTAAGTACAATTTAGTTCTTTATTTTTTTTATAAGATATTTCTGAGGAGTTTTCCAAATTGGAATTCAGAAATAATCAAAAGATATAGAGAAAATGGAACTCCTGACAACTGTACAAAACCTGGTAGACCACCTAAACTGTCACAATCAGATAAACAGTGCTTAAAGCTTTCATCTTTGAGAGAGAGAAGAAAATTAAGCTCCACTCTTGCTTCTGATCTGAAAAAACCCTTCCACTGTGAGAGGACTAGTCAACACTATGAGTCTGAAAGGATGTGTAGCTGTCAAGAAGCTGTTACTGAGAAAAGGAAACACAAATAGACAAAATAGAAGAAAATTTACAAATTAAACAATGAAGCTGCTGGTGTTCTCAGAACAATGGACTGACCACCCCGGAGGCAAGACCTCAACATCACTCAATGTGTTCGGGATTATTTGGATTGTGAGAAGCAGAAAGACTGAACTTTGGAGGTGTGGAAAAATTTCCCTGCAGATTTCTTTTGAAAAACTGAGAGCAGGTCTCCTGAAAGGAATGGAAGCTGTAATAAAGTCAAAGAGTGGAGACTTTAGATACTCACTGAAAACAGTTATGTTTAGTTTTTGAGGCTTTAGTGTACTTTTCTGTTAAACATTTTCGAAAAACAGAAAACATATTTAATTTAATTATTTTTTAATATCCTTGTTTTGACTGGAAAAAAAATAGTACTTTGCACAGTATGCTAAATACTATAGATATATTTTGTACATTTTGTAAGGCTCTTTTGCAGTCCTGTTTTTGTATTTATTGTATTATTTGTTTACCATTTTATTCTGTATTGTCCATTTCTGTTTACACCAGTTCCACTGATTCAAATTCCTAGTGTATACAAGTGTACCTGACCATTAAAGTGATGCCGATTATCATATTTCTTTTTACTCCCTTTAGAGGGCACCAGGGGTCAGCAACAAGGAGCAAATCTACTACAAAGATGGCAATTCGGAGTTTGAGGTGCAGGGCACTAAGTTCACTGGCCGGATTAGTGTTTCTAACTCTCTGGAGACCACACAGAAGAACAGCATTCTGACCATCAGTAATACACGGCTCAGCGATGAGCTGGAGTTCTTCTGCCGAGTGAGCGTGGATGCCAGCGAGGAAGGACGCACTCAACTCCTTGTGTTCAGTAAGATAAAGCTTGGCTTTACAACTGTCCTTCTCTCTAGACCAGGCGTCATCAGTTCTGTTCCCTTGAGGCCTTTTCAGTTTGGTCATTTTACTGTTCTAACACACCAATTAAACGTGGCAACTGTTGAGATGATTCAGGTGGGTTTGAGCAAGGAAAGCCCCAAACTGTGCCGGACCCTGCAGAACCAGAACTGACTCTTATAGATCTAGACTAACGACACTTACACGGGGCTCGTGACCAGTATTGATGTTATATGTGATATATGTTGAAATCATGCTTTTTCTGTGTACACAAGCTCTTTGAATTAAAGCTGAAAAATGGAAATGACTGGCTCTAATCCTAACCCTAACCTTAACCTGAACCCAAAATCTAATCCCAACCCTCACCCTGGTCCTGGTCCTAGCCCTAGCCCTAGTCCAAATCCTAACCCTAACCCTTCCATTGTTTAGTTTGTTAACAATTTGAACAGCTGTAGATAATCTATAGGGGACTATAGTGGACTATCCAAATAAAGTGAGACAGAATCAAGAATTATTTAGTGGTATTTGGAAATGAGAGGACTTTTGAAAAAGAACATTTTAGGTCCAGATTCCAGCATGAAAATTGACTTAAGTCAGTTTTTTTATTTGGTAAGATATTTGCAGTTCTGTTGGCTAAGAGTTCATAACAGGATATTCCTGTGTATTTTATTGGCGCCTGCCTTTGGTCTCAGTAGGCATAAACAAATATGGGAGATTCAACAGTATTCCATAAGGGATTTGGATAGTTAGGAAGGACATGATCATAATCACATAACAAGCATGGAATGGTCTTCCTCACGAAGTTCTCAGTGCCCAGGGATTGTGGGCATTTAATATGAATTACAGACAGACAACCATAATGGTCTTCTTTGCAGTGTGCTCTCATTATTGGAGGTGCGGAGATCAGGAGCATAGCTAGAATTTTTAGAATGGGGTGGCCAGGTGAGACCACTACAAAAGTACCAGGACAAAAATCACTTAAATACTGAGTAACAAGAATCGCAGTGAAGCTGCATCCAGCATCCAGGAACTATTGGCACAGGAAAGTCTGTTATGTTCTTTTGGCCTAAAATACTTTTATAAACCTGCTCACAAATATACTTGAGTAGAAAAAAACGTATTGTCGTTTGGAAATACTCAAAGTACAAATCCATCAAAATCTATAAATAAATATAACTACGCACCTCTGCTTAAAATATATAATGAACATTCTGTATAAGCACTTGGAAATATTTCTTGTTAACATGGTGTTTGGAAAACCATGCGGCTTTGTGTTAATCTTTTACCTTTAAAGGGGAATTCCATAGAATTTTCAAAGTTTCTGCATAATTCTACATGATACATAGAGGTCACTGAAGGGCCTATATCATTCAAACGTGATTTTTCCATGCTCTTTTTTTAAATAGAAGAGTTTAAAGTAGTGTGGAAATATTGCTAAAGTTTAAAATGTACCGTTCACTCTACAGGCCATACAGTCCGTTTATGGAAACCAAGCCGCAAAAACATTCCATTTTGAATTCAGTGTTTTTGTGACATCACGAAAACCAAAACATTTATTCTACAGCAGTTTAGCTCTGCCCAGTCACACTGAAATTATTGAAATTATTATAAAACATTTAGGATTTACCTCTATTTTACTTTTATCAACAATACGCATTACACTCATGCTATATATAAAACTCAGAACACATGTACAGGCTTGCTAATCATTTTGGATAGTAAATAAAATAACTGAATATGTGCTGCTTCTGGTTCCTATCACCACCGTTGCAAAGAAATCCAAGTCAGTGAATCTCTCTACAGTTCAGCATTTCACCTCATACCTCTCTGAGTGACTTTCTTTATCTCAAAGATTGAATTATGTAGAAAATTTAAAAAATCTGTAAATTCCCCTTTAATTCAGAGAGCTTGAGTATATTGTTGCTGTTCTAAACAAAACCCTGTTATCTCCAACATGGTAACTTGGCAGGAGAAGGAAACACTTTCTCATCTTTTTAAGTGAAAAAACATTTTTATTTCAAGTCCTAGTTGTCCATCAATCATGAAATATGCACGAACAATGCATGGACAAAACAAAAGTGGAGAAAGAAGGATTTGTTCCGACAGTGACGACATACAGAAAACATGATTTTACTTTATTTAAAATGAATTGCCTCAGACAATAGAGATAAACATGGTTACAGAAAGTGCAACTAATTTGCAGCCCCTGTAAGATGTTTAAAAGGAAATAACACAATCAGCAATTACAATTAAAAAATTACCATTTGGCTAAATGTGGCACATTCACATTATGAGAAAATGTTGTTGATGTTATATTGTCCTTGTTAAATAAACAAAAAAAAAAGTAAGAAAAAGTAAAAGATGCAACATAAGATGTTTAAAACCTGCATATTTATTTGTAAGTATGTATACATGCAAGTATTTGGTCACCTGTATGGGCACGCAAATACAAATGTGAATATCAAAGGCTGTGCACTGACATTTTCAGTTGCCACTCACTTGTTGTAAACCTGTTGTTGCTCTGCTTTGTGATGAACTGGCAAAGTGTTACTGGGGCAAGGCAATTACTACACTTAAAAAAGAATGAAAAATGTATAAAATTGTCAAAGCTCCATCAATTTAACATTTTTTGATGGCACAGAAATGCTGTCTCATTGGTTTCTGTCCATCTTTTTCAATGCCTGTTTATATAATGTCATTACAGTTTTAGATACTGATTAAGAAAACTGGCCCCAGACAGTCACACAATATGACGTGATTGAAATCATGGCATATGCATACAGTTGTGCTGCCTTGACCAGAATGCAAGTTCTTATTTATCTAAATCAGTTTGATTTAGTTTTGATAGTCTTAGATAATTTCTTTATATGCTTTTTATTTTAATTTTGGATCTAGTCACTGTTCCAGTGCTTATATGCCTCCATCCTAACACATTATCTCCTTCTTTTTTTTGCCCTGCAGATGTCCCAACTCATCCCACCATTAACGTAGTACCTTATGTCTCTGCAGGAACACAGCAGCTGGAAAAGGTAGTGTACTAGAACTCTTTGCTGTTTGCTGTAATTAAATGAATAATATCATGACCATAACAGAAATAGGCTCCGTGTGGCTATGTGACAGAACATGGATAAAAATTCCATTTTGGTCCAGCTTGAGGGAAGTTCTGCTTATACACTGACCTGACTAGAGAATATAAAGCTTACATGCTTACACGTGCAGTGTATACAATGCAAGAACCCTACATTACAGCAGCCCAAAATATGCAACAACTGCACACTGCGCACTGCACACTCAGAATTTTTACATGCAAACTGTAACCTAGCATAACAGTGGCCAAAACAGTATAATAGTACAGCTGTTGGGAGAGTGGACTCGTTTTAATCAGCAACACAACTGACAACGTATGTTAAGACCTTGCTCAATTCTTTTATACATCATGAATGAAAATACAGATTTCTGTTGATTGATAAGTGTTATGTGGTGTGTGTGTGTGTACATATATATATATATATATATATATATATATATATATATATATATATGTGTGTATATATATATATATGTACACCGATCAGGCATAACATTTTATCAGCCCACTTACTATGTAGGTGCACTTTGTAGCTCTACAATTACAGACTGAATTTTAAACACCTCTGTGTCACTGCTGGACTGAGTAGCATCCTGTGGGCATAGACATATATATATATATATATAATGCTGTTGTCAGAAGAAAATCTCTTATCTCCATTTTTGACATTTTTCAGTTCTTGACATAATTTGAAAATACCTGTTGTCCTTCACGTTGTATGTAAAGTTTTCATGATAAGTGGAGTTAAAGAAACAACCCAAAATGACTTGGAAAAAAGTCTGGTTCCATTGACTTACATTAAAAGTAAGGTAGGTTTTGTCCTTCTCCTGTAAAGTTACCATTTTGGAGATACAAGGTTTTCTATGTTAAGGTGGCCAGTTTCCCAGTATTTCAGATGTAGTGTAAGACTAGGCTTCCAGTGTCTGGGAAGTTGGTTTTAAATGTTTAAAGCAAGAGCAAACCCTGCTCCCAAGCTACAACAAACAACATATTGCATTTCAGATTGCATCTTGCGAGGTCAGAAATGCGTACCCTGCTCCTAACATCACATGGTACAAAGACAGGACCCCCTTGCAGCACTCAGACAGTAGTAAGTATGCAGGAGCACACATCAAGCCATAATTGTGCTTTTATCATTCAAAAACTGGTGATGAACCTTATCTTTCTATCCCAGAGGTGAAGGTGAAGACCACCAGGACAGTCAATCCCAGCGGGCTGTTTACAGTGAAGAGTGATTTGCAGCTTGAAGTAGAGAAACAGGACAAGGATGCAAAGTTCTACTGCGAGGTCAACTACTTTACCCCTGGAACACAGGAGATGATGGAGTCTGACCACATCAACATCACAGTCTATTGTGAGTTGTCCTAAACCTCTTAAACTGTCAGACATATTACACCCTCTGCAAGCGCATGCACAGACCCCAGGGGGTACTTGAGCCCCTGCCCTTTTGCCCTCACACTGTAGTCTGCAGACTGTGCCCTCTTGGTCGGCATGTAGTAACTGTGTTTTATATGTTATTATTGACGATCCAAGCCAGTGGGGCAGCCCAGGTTCCACCAGTGGGGAACCCTCAGGGCTTTCTAGCAGTTCAGAGGAGGTTTAATGACATGTCTGTAATTATTTGTTTAATATCATCACGGTTGTTGTATTTAAAGTCAGTATGTAATATGTCAATATGTAATTAGCTGCACGTCTAGTATCCTCCTACTTTTCATGAGATCCTCTCAAGTAATGTTTCATACATAACATGCACGCTTTTTCGGACAGAATGTGTCTTAATTGCATATGAAACCTGCTTCTAACACTTAGTTCACTGTATTACAGCTGAGATCCTATTATTTATTATTATAATTAGTGTGCTGTGTGCATTAGATATGAATTATTTTGACTTTCATGAACTTTAACACAGCACTTATTTTTCCACATATCTCAGATTTTAATTGGCCAATTGCTGGGCTGTGATTTTATTTATTGTTTATGGTTTGGCATTAAATATAATTTTTTCACATGTAGAGTTTAAGTGACACACTTTGAACTGTGATTATATTGAATGCTGTGTCATTTGCAGCAAATCTGAATAAATCTGTAGCAAATTGTAAATTCTCTGTCACCCAGATAAGGCCAGTTTATTAGACAGTTTATTGAGAGCACAGCCATCATTGGTCTCACTGGTGTACATATTGCAGCTTTGAGGACCAATCAGAAAACCATAACCATGCCTGTTTCTTGAATTTGTTTGGTTTTTTATTACCCTTAGATCCAACAACAGAAGCTACAATGAAACAGGAGTCCCCTAAAGGTCTCATCAAGGAAGGCGATAGAGTGGAGATCAGATGCCAGGGAAATGGAAACCCTGAGCCATTCATAACTTTCTCATATAATGATGTAAGGAGTCTGTTGTCATCATTAATTTTTAAAGTGGTAATATTGCAGTTGATAATTAATGAATGTTTACATGCAAAGCACCTCATGGTCCTGGCTTGTAACTCACTCACTCAAATACTCACTCATGTTTAACAAGTTTGTCCGCAATGGGGAATGACGGGGAGAATTTCGGGTGGGCCACGGAGAGAGTAAGAAAAAGAGAAATACGTGATAGTTTCTAACATGCATTGTATAAAATGAATGAAGACTGCCCAGGACAAACAGCGTTTGCCGGGTGAATACTGGAGTGCACATATCTAAACATGTTAGTGGTCCACTGCTGCAGCCCCCAGAAGAAAGCACAACTGGGAAAGTTAATCCATGAGAAATAGCTAGAGATAGGGAGAAAGCCTCTAAAAAGCCTATGGCTAACACGCCAGGGGGTTGCATGAAAAAAAAAAAAAAAAACAAACCCAAAATGTGAAGATATGAAGAAATGAAAGTACAGGATTTGTCTACATATCAGAGTAAAGAACCACAGGGTCAAACTGCAGGAGGGTAAGTTAGCCAGTTCATTTAGTCTGCTTGTACACTAAGGCTGCAGAACACTAGCTTAATGTTAAAGTACTGTCACACACTGGATAATTAATTAGCTAACTAGCAGTCACTCCAGTTCTCAGCCAAGCTACAGCATATGTTCACATTTATATATTTTAAAGAGATAAATTGTGTTTATTGTGTTTGAAAATATACGCCCACTTACTCGAAATATGATAGCAGGCTTCAAATCGTGTCAGAAATACTGTATTTACGAGATGAGCGCACATCAACGCCACCACAACCTCGTAATTACTAGTGGGAATCTTGGATATTTCAGTGGGCCTTGAGTTTCTGAGGCCTGTCAGCAAAAAAGCAGCGATAGCTGCTGATAAACTGGTTGTATTTCAGTTATTCAGTAGTATGTGTGAGCACTGCAGGCTAAAATCTTCCACACATGAAAATACAAATATAAGTATGTTATGTGATGCTTCTAACTGGATAAAAACATTACTCATCTCATAAGCATCCTCTGCTCTCCACTTTGTTGCAGTAAGGCAAAATAAACTGACTCTCTTTAATGACAGAAAAGACATTATATCTGTTGCATCTTTGTTTCCAACCAAAACCACTTGAACACAAATCAAGTCATACTTACGACCTCCAAATTCGTTAAGTAGGAATTTCCGAGGACTTGAAGGTAGCAGTAGTCCCAGGTGGGCGTGGAGGTCACTGAAGGAGTAGTGGGCTGGTCTAGACAAAAGTCCAGGGCTGGATTTATTTCCTAGTCCAGCCCTGCTTGATAAGTTATATGAAAGCGTTTAACAAAACGCTTAGTCTTTAACTCAATATTAAAACTTCTCCACATGTGCATACTCAAGGGTGCATTGATGTAACGGTGATGTAGCTGCAGTGTGTGTTTTAGATGTGCACAGCTCCTCTAGTCATATGAAAACCACAGCTACCAAAAAAGTGTCAGTCTTCTCTTTAACAGTTCAATAGTAAAATGTTAAAAACATACTTTTTATTGTTGGACTAATACGTTTATATTTTTCGAACTTTAATAAATGTTCTTTTTAACATAGTAAGCACTTTTTTAAAAAATGCAATGTATATCGTCTGACATCACAAGCATGAATGTTGTTTGGGAAAAATTTCACCTTCTCACATTATTCTACCCCATCCTACATAAGTCAGCTGTGCTGTATATGTAATGTTCACTGGCACTTCATATCAGTGACACTTTGTTGTTGTATCCTTGTTTTTTTTCAATACTGGAGGATTTGCTGTCAGACAATAATCTTCTGGTTCTGAATAATGTGACTCGAAGAAACAGTGGCACATACTTGTGCAGTGCGCTGGACCAGTCATTTGAGGAGAGCTCTGCAAACCTGAGCATCACTGTACACTGTGAGTAAGAGTAGTGGCCCTAGCTACTGCAGCAGAAACACTGCTTAGATTTTGCAGTGCATTGTTTTCACAGTGTCCTATGTTGTTTTTGCAGATCTGGATTCTGTTGTGATCACTCCAGAGAAACCAGTTCATTTGGAGGAAGGGAAGGATCTGTCTCTGACCTGTAATGCCGTCTCATCTCTGTCCACCCGTGCAGTGTGGTACAAGGTAAAAAAAAAAGAAAATGTGACTTGGTGGTGATAAAAATCCATTTTGGAGTGTGCAGTAAAATACAATGTATGCAGTAAAATGAAATAAAATGCAAGCAAATTTTACTTACCTTTACTTGTGACTGGATGTACATTTTTCATCCATGAATTATAAAACTACAAGTTATGCTATTAAACAAGCTGGTTTGCTAATTTGGTAAATTTGAGCACCTCCATACCTTCACTCTCACAGTAATGAGTTTGAATGATGACAGAAGAGTTTAACTGGCTGGAATGTATGTTATTTAACAAGATTCACTTGAAGTAAGTAAACACAGCCAGGAGTAGGCAGTTTTAGCGTAACTGTCAAGTCAGTATATGTATGTGACAATTTAGGTGCCCCTGTCAAAAACTATGTTTTGTTGAATTCCTGAGAGAAAATAAGTTAATACATCCTCTACAAAGAACACACTTCTGCACATTTTAGTGGACAGTTGCTGTCTATTTACAGAATTTAACATTGCACACTTTATGATTTATGTTTTATTTTATGACAGTTTCAACTCAGCAAATAAGTTTTAAAAGCACTAAAATTTAACAAAATCTTAATTTGATGAAGGAAATAAAAAACATAAAACCAATAATCTTTTTAGTAAAATGATGTTTTACTGCTGTATCCTAACGCTTTAAGTATATTTTACACTCATCAGAGAGTAAGAGCAGGTTTCAACTAAATAGTGATTTGACATTTTTCTAAATATTTTCTTGAATTTCTGATATATTATGTCAAACTTATGGCTTATTTTCTCAAATTAAGTACTTTGAAATACCCATAATAATACTTTCTTGATGTAATATATTTTTTCCACTTTGAACATTTAAGATTCATTATTTCAGCCTAAAGAGTCACAACGTGAAGTTGCTCTTGTGTTTGTTTTCCTGGAAGTTATTAATAGATAAGCTGCTAAATTGCCCACCCCCACCCCGTGTTGATAGACTGGGTAATTAGCACCTCTTTTGGCAAATCGGCCCCTACGTGTCAGAGAGACACTGTGCACTCTCCTGCAGTCTATGTATAAATTATCTGTGGTTTGTGGTCTGTGCTGTATATGAAATATATGTAAACAGTACAGCAGGCAGTTATTCCTCTTCTGTGTCTCTGTGTGCAGGACAGCGCTTATCTCACAGAGGGACATGTGCTGAATTTACAGAACGCCTCCTATGACATGGCTGGGATGTATGTCTGTGTGATAGAGGCACCCGACCTGCCTGAACTACGGAGAAACAACTCTGTGCTTGTCACTGTGATCGGTAAATGGCTGGAGAAGTGTGTGTGTGTCTGTGGGGGGGGTGTGCGGTGGGTGTGCGGAGGTGGGAAAGGTTTAAAAGGCCCATAAAGCGACCCTAATGGAAAACTGAGATGTCCTTACTCTTTTAAAAGTAAAAGCTGTAATTTAGCCCCTCCCATTCATATTTTAGCGTTTCAGACTGATCTGCCTGTTGAATCAAGCATAATGCAGGGTGGTCAGTCAGAACAGTATATCAATCTTAAAGGCACAGTAACAAAAACAGCCATTTAAATTCTAACACAAACATCATAAGTGGACTTCAGCACTGTTAAAAAAAGTTAGCGTTTCAAATTTTGTGTTTATTGAACTTCAAAAAGAGTTAGCCCAACCTAAGATGAAGATTGTTTCGTTTTGTTAACTTACTATTAGAAGTTCATTTAAGGCAGCCCAGTAACTAACCAGGTTTTAAGTTAAAAAAGCATTTTTGTTTACAGTGAGAGGAAAAGTAAAATGCAAGAAAATGGTCAGATGTGGACCCTTTTAGACCGCACTAAATGCTAAAAGCTTTATCTCTCGTCTCCAGGTAAGCCTGTTATTATAGCAGGAGTGGAAGTAATTCCATTGGACAGCGAAAAGTTGGTTAATCTGAGCTGCACCGCAACAGGACACCCAGCACCCACCATCATCTGGGCACTCTCTGACGAACAAGTACTGTACACACAAAGCATTCAGCCTAGTTACCAACAGGGGCCCACCCTGAAGCTCACTTCTCTAAAACTCAAAGTTTGATATCTTATTATTTCAGTAAATAATTACAGTTCACAAACCAGTTCCCTCAGCTGTGTAATTGATATGCAGAAGAATTTAATTTCCAATATAGATGGGTGAAATGAAAGGAAAAATCTGAATAAATGAGTGGAGAAACGAGCGCAGTTGTTTCCAGACAGGTATACTGCAAGATACAGAACATCGTACTATGCTCTGTGGCATGTATAAAAATGCTGAGCATGCCCAGTTGAACTTGATTTTGTATCAAGATGGCCAGAGGAAAAGTGACTTTAACAGATGGTTCATAATAGGAGCACAGACAGCCGAAGCTTTAGTCACAAAGACTGCTCAACTTGCTACAAGAGAATGACAGGCCTGAATGACTTACCCCTACAGTGAGGGAGTCTGGCGGCTCTGTTATGATGTTGAGGACATTTTGCTGTCGTGGTTTGGGTCTACTTTTCCCCTTAACAACATTGACTGTAGTTTGTATACAAATTCTGTCCTGTTATTTGCTGTATAAGGCTGGGAACAACACAATGGCACTGTGGAGCCTGACTATTGTTTAATAAGCAATATTTGTATCAGTTTTTCATTTTTTAACTTCCATATAAATCATCCCATATAAATAAAAATAATGGGTTAGTAAGGTGTGGAAATGAAATAAGTCATGATCATGACTTAGTAAGGCATAGGAACGACTAAGTAAGGCATAGGAACGACATCATGCCTTACTTAGTCGTGGCCACGACTTAGTTATCTTGTTCCCACACCTTACTAAGTCGTGGCCACGCATTATTTTTATTTATACAGGATCACAAGCGGGGCTCCGTATTTTTGCCCCAATCATTAATTGTCAAAAACTCATGTTCTAACTGCAGGGATTTGAAAATGAACTCTGCTTTTCCTTCTGCGTGCCTCTTAGGCTCGTGTGAGTAAGTGGATCACTAAGAAAGAAGACGAGGTTCTCAGTTTTATTAGCATCAGCACAACATCTGACATCACAGCATCCTGCGAAGCCGCCAACAAGATGGGCACAGTCAAAGCATCTCGTGACATTGAAGCCAGTGAGTTTCTGTTCTCATATTTCTCATGTTCTCTTTCTGTATGAAATACAGACCTTTCAGTATACACAAACATATATGAGGTAATGCCAACCAGTTTTACACTTTGAATAGGTAATGTTTAGTTATTTAAAGTACCATGATTATATATATATATATATATATTTATATATATATATATATATATATATATATATAATAATATGTATATTCTTTTTTCTTCCATATTATACATTTTGTTGGAGACTGAGTTGATTCTTTATTTTTTCAGCTGAACTGAAAACACCAACAACTTCAATAACAAGCACTACTTCCACCAGTACAAAGGGTAAGTATCTCAATGTTTCTTAGTATTGCAGCACAGTATGTTGTTATGTGATGATTTGATTTGCAAATTTGCATGATGATTATTTACTCTAGTTCTGATCCAGAATGTCAGTCTCTGGAACCCTGGGCTTATTATATAGTAACTACCACGAATTATTCATTAATTTACTTACATTAACTTACTTTAATCGAACTGTGGGCTCATGTACAAATCTTTAGGGGTTAACGAGTTAAAGAATAAGAGATATAAACAATATGCACAATATTTCCAGCAGTTTATATTATAAATTGACACTTGATACAGCAGCCTTTGTGTGCATTTGATGTTTACTGGTGCTTTTTGAGTCAGCCGGTGCATTCAGAGCGTATGTTTGCACACAGATGGGTTTTAGTGTAACAGAAGAAGGCAGCTGATGGCCAGAGAGCTTTCACGCAGTCTCCTGACTCCCATTAGCTCACAGTGCAGCTTGATCTCCGCCCGGCAGAGCTCATGCTCTCTGCCCTGCGGGAGAATGGAGAACTGCAGCTGTGCATGAGTGAAAATAAGATTAACCAGCCACTGGCTCTGCAGGGCTGTCTGCCACTCAGAGCCTTCCGGTTTAGCTTCTGTTAAATACAACACTGATTCAAAGGGGTAAAACTGAATGTTAAATTACATTCCAATTACGCTGATTTTCTAAGTGAAAATAACTCGTCGTCTACAGAGGACACAGTTAAATGTGGAATTTTTTCTGCAAATGTTAGCACAGAACTTTTATTTATTTGCTGAGTTTATCATATTGAAAAAATAGTAAAATGTGCCATAACTTTTGCAGAGGCCACATGTTAGATTTTGTTGTATTTTCAATATGTTAAATTCAGCAAAAAGACAGTAACTGTGTCTTAAAATGTGAGGTGGTGTGTTGTCTGTAGAGGATATGTTAGCTTATTTTCACTTAGAAAATTAACAAAACATGCAATTTGACAAGGAACACCAACAATACTGCATACAATACATATTATATTCCAGGCCAACTCCCCTAGGGCCGTTTCTGAAAAATCTGAAAAATCATTACATTTATGGAACCATGCAAAAAGATCTTTAAAGTTTGCCCTTCAGGTTGTAAAATGCATCTTAAATATTGAGTTTAACTGCTTACATAATAGGCCTGTTTACACCTTGTGTCAATATATATTTTGAAGATGGATCTTGACCACATTGAACACAAATAAAAACGGAATGGGTTTTTGTAATCCAAATATAAATTACATGAGTGGAAATGTGTCTGCCGAGCGCTGACGAGCGAGTGAGAGGATAAACAATTAAATGAAAGACGGAGGATACACAAGGTTAGCTTTATCCCCAAACCAAGAGCCTTCTTGCACTCTGGGCCGATGAAGGTGTCCAAGCCAAGCTTGTTGACTCACATTATAACAGGAAGAAAGTAAACAAAAGTAAAATGGAAATGATGTTATGTGCTGATGTGCTTTTTCACATGGAGGAAGTAAAATCGTATCTCATCTGGTCACACTGGGGACGCATTTTAGTGAAAAGTGTAAATGGAATCCGGCCAGAGTTTATCCAGATACGATATGGGCACGAGACATATCTTAATGCAAGGTGTAAGCAGGCTCAAAGACCGAACTGCGCTGAAACATTAAGTGGGCACGAATACAAAACAAATAATGCTTCAAGAATACAGGGAGATTTAAAGAGATTAATCCGATTTCAAAGCACCATATTTTGACAACTGTGTGGCGCCTAGGAACCAATCACATACCAATTGAAAGAGGGGGTCATAGAGTTTCTGACTGTCCATATGAACAGGCAGTGAACCTCCAACAGCTCAGAACATTCGTCATTGTTACCAACAGTTCCAAGAATAAGGTCACTATCATTACCAGATCTCATGCCGTATGACTTTTTTTGTGGGGCTACGTTAAGGATTCTGTTTATGTGCCACCACTCCCAACAACACTGGATGATCTCCGAAATCACATTGAAAGAGCTGTGAGTACAGTGACACCTGACATGCTCAATCGAGTATGGAATGAATTTGACTATGGCGTTGATGTTGTCCGTACAGCTGGAGGAGGTCATATTGAGCACTTGTAACACTACATAATTAACTTTATGCTCACCTAAACCATTTACAGTTTACTGCATTGTTCTGTAATGATTTACAAGTGAAATAAATCAGATTAATCTTTTTGACTCACCCTGTATGATTTCACTTTAAATCTACTTTTTATGATAGTAATTTCCATGGTTATTTAATGGGAATTTAAGTTCTGTAAGCAGCTAAATTCTGTTTAACATGCAATATAGAATCTTTTGGGTAGCAGAGCTTCGAAATTTGCATAGACATGTGAGCTGATATATACATACATACCTACATACATACATACATATGTACATAAATTTCATTATGAACAGAACAACACAAATAGTCCAAAATTACTTGGAAAAATGCTGCTACATGAACATTGAAATTTTCTCCCGGCAGCAGTGATATATGGACCATTCTACTGAATTAGTTCTAACTGTGGTCCCACAGTAAGTAAATAAATAAATAAAAACTATTAAGTACTAGTAATACTGTTTAAGTATTAGTTACTTGTGAAGATTATATTATGATCTATGTTATGATTATGATCTATTAAAAACCCAAGCCATTAATAGAGAAAGCAAAAAGCCCAATAATATAAATAATCATCATTTATAGGGACTTTTATGTTGGGAGGTGTCAGTCCAAAACTCTAGCCCCTAACTTGTAAAAATATTATTTTTATGATGTTATTTATATGTTATTTTTTTATCTTTTTGATTATTTTTAATGTAAAGTTGAACAATTTAGAGTTGTTTAATTTTAAAACAAGAAAACTTTGTCACCTCAGCGCCAGAAACAATCAACACTTCGAAAAGAGTAAGAAAAGGTTTGTCCAGTTCATGTGGATTGAATAGAGACCACCATTAGCATGCCATTTCACTCTTCACTGCTGTGCCTGCTTGGACATCCTACACCCACAGCACTGCTATTCCAACCTACAGATACCATATGTACAGTTTTAGAGAGGCAGAAGCTCTCATGCTATATACAGTAGATTGATTCAATGTATTGCAGGTTCTAAATTCACTTTTGATTAAATAAGTCATATTTCTTTCACCGCTTTGCTTATGCCTCTGGAACTGTTCTGGAATGAACGCTTAATATAGGACAGTCATACTCAAACTGCTGATTGAATGATACAGAGAATGCTTCATCTCCCTCACTGTCCTCCTCCATACTTTCGCCGCTCTGTTCTGTGACAGAGCTCTGATTGACAACTTCTACACACCTGTGGACATTTTGTTTTAATAAGAATTGTTAGCTTTGTCACAGACTACAGACTGCTTTCACCCACCGAACTCCAGCGTGCATCACTGTAGCTGTTTTGTGCTTGTTACAGTAAAGCCAGTTTTTTTAGTCTTTAGAAAAGTTCTTGCCAACACCAAACTGCTTCCAGCGTGTTCTGAAGCTGTTTGGTCTTGGAGAGGACTTTTCTTTTTTATCATGCGAAGATTGTGTGAAGATTGTAAGATGTGCCTGCGCTTTCTTGTATGTATCACCAGAGGGCAGTGGAGTCATCATTGCTGTCATCATCATCCTCATCTTACTGCTAGCCATCTTGGGCAGTGTGCTCTACTTCCTGTACAAGAAGGGAAAGATCCCATGTGGACGCTCAGGGAAGCAGGACCTGTATGTGTTTTTACATTTTTTTTGTTAATTCATTTAATTGATTATCTGTCTGTCTGCTTGCTGATCTGTGTATCTTTTGGTTTCTATACGTCAAAAAGAAATTTACATAAGGTATTATTTGACACATTACATATCAGCGCAGTGTTTTCCCAAACATCTCAAACATTTGAGTGAGTTTTCTGACACAGTTTTGGAGGAGTTGCCTGTAACTAACATTTTAATAGATGATGTGTATTCATGCCTATGTTTGCTAAATTATTTATTTTGTAAGTCAACTCAGTAATGAAAAGTGTGTGTTTCAGGCTACAAAAATACAAAATATACAAGAAATACATATCAGTGACATTTTATGGGCTCGCAGAAAAAGTACACTATATGGCCAAAAGTATGTGGACACACCTCCTAATTATTGGACTCCACAGCAAGGGAAATGTGTTCTCTGGAGTGTTAAATCACTATCTGGGAGTCTGATGGACGAATCTGGGGTTTGCAGATGCCAGTACCTACTAGGATGCATAGTGCCAACAGAAAAGTTTGGTGGAGGAGGGATAATGGTGGGGGCTGTTTTTCAGGGCTTGGGCTGGTAATGTTAATGCTACAGCAAGACATTTTAGACTTATATAGAATATCTAGAATTATATGATTCCAACTTTGTGGCAGCAGGCTGGGGAAGGGCCTTTCCTGTTCCAGCATGACGGAGCCCCTGTGCCTAAAGCGAGGTACATAAAAAAAGTGTGACATCTCCATTGGCCCACACAGAGCCCTGACCTCAACTCCACTGTACAGCTTTAGGTTGAATTGGAATGTAGATTGCGAGCCAGGCCTTATCACCAACATCAGTGTCTGACCTCACGAATGCTCTTTTGTCAGAATGGACAAAAATTTTCACAGACACACTCCAAAATCTTATGGAAAGCCTTCCCAAAAGAGTGGAGTTTGTTTTAGCTGCAAAGAGGGTCCAAGTCCATTTTAATGCCCATAGCTTTGGAATGGGATGTCCAACAAGCTCATATAGGTGTGATGGTCAGGTGTCCATTTTGGCTTCTCATACATGAAAAGCAGCATTTCTTCTGAATATCAAGTTTCAGAAAGGAAACTTTGTATTTAATACAGTTTCCTTCACTTCATGTATCTCAACCCAGTACTTATAATAAGAGTGATTTCCTTTAAATGTGATTTGTCATCAGTACAAAGGAGAGCGCCAGTAAAGACGACATTGTTGTGGAGATGAAGAGCGGCAAGTCTGCGGAGGCTGTGCTTCTGCAAGGAGTGAATGGTGATAAAGTTTCCCAATGACCAGGTTTGTAATCCCAACAACACCAGCTGTAGCTAATGAACTTCACCTTAAGGGATGTGCTGTATTTAGAATGACAGGCGGCTGTATGGGATGGCAGCTTGCCTTGGAAAATGTTCCAGTGAAGTCCCCTAATTTAATTTATCAACAGGTTTGCAAAATATGACAAAAACACTTATCTTTTGTTTTTCATGAATGCTAAAGTGAATGAAGGATGCACGGATGCACAGAGAAGAGGTGCCGAAGAGCTGCCTCCATGCTACTCTCTCTCTCAGGGTGGGACCCTCGCAGTGAGAGGCCTTGAGCCTCTTTTCCCACAGGATCGCCATATTTACTCTTCCCCTATGAACTGGGACAGAGAACCTCTGCCCCACTGCACAGGCCTCATTCTTTCAGTTTTTATTTTTTTTCCTAGTATGTTAACCCAAAGGCCTTGATAGGATGGATTGTCCATGAACAACAATCTGTGCTCTCTATATGATGTATATATGAGCTACTGTACATATGTAGTTATTTAAAATGCTTTAGACAGAGAACATCTGAAGGGTGCTCTATATCCCACTGATGATTTGGAGGAGAGATCTTTGTTGAAGGCTGTCTTGCTTGCTGTTGTTCTGCCAGTTCAAAATTGCTCTCCCTTCTGCCTCCATCATATAGTCCTTGCACTGAAGTACTAAGCCGTCTCACACTGCTGTGCTTTTAAACACTGTAAACACTTTCACTCTAAAACATGCTAAAGGCAACCAATCACATCTGACATTATATTCCTTAAATTTGCTTTTGAAGATTGAAGATATATATAAAAAACACAGTGGGGTCTGAAAGTCTGAGACTACAAATAAAAATGCTGACATTTTTTTTTTTGTTTTTTTTTACTTAAAACACTTTTTTTTCATTACAAATCAAAATGTCAGCATAATTTGAGTGAAAAATCTTCAAAATATTTACATCACTTTCTTAGCGTTTGGTATGCTCCCCTTTTGCTTTAGTGACAGCAACTCCAGACGTTTTTAAGTGTGCGAAAGTCTCTGATGACTAGTTCAAATCCACTGAGTCTGAGTTTCAATGAAGACTCACACTCTCTCTCTCTCTCTCACACTCACACACACACACACACACACACACACACACACACACACACACACACACTCTCTATCTCTCTCTCTCTCTAAGCCGCTTATCGTTCTGGGTCAGAATCAGTGAAGACTCTAAATAAATGAATAAATTGACCTTTTTGTATAAAGGCCTTTACATGATTAATTTAACAAATTTGCTTACATTTGAATAGTGACCCAGAAACAGTGCAGAATCTTTTTATTTATCAACTTTAATTTGAAAACTGATTTTTTTAATATGGGCTCAGACAATTGGACCCCACTGAATATTAGGACTGTTTTTTTTAAAAAAGAAAGAAAAAGAAAAAAAAAGTATATTTTGCTGGTGATCATGGCCTGCTGTCTTCATCTTGCACTGTATGTAAATAATGAATTATAATCTGGGTTTCAAAACTTTCTGCCTTTCTGTGTGAAATTAACTCAGCTGTGCAAGTGTTGGTCAGTAAACAAAGAAAATTTGTGGATGTTAGTAAATTCTGTACAGCTGCCGTTTTTAGGTGTTTTAGTTTAATTTTCCAGATTTTTCTTATTATTTCTTAGGATGAATACATAATTTTCATTATGTGGATATTCTCTTTTTTTTACTTCTAAATAAAAAAAACAAAAACAAAAAAAAACCAAAAAAAAACACCGCAAACGTATTTAGGGATGAAACTGAACAAAAGAGCGAGGAGCACTACTGCATTATTCAGCACATAGTCTACACAACAATAAATACCAAAGCAAAAGCATAATGACAGGCACACTGTTGTGGATCTGATGTTTGGAAATGTATGCTAGTCAACCATTGCTAATTTTTTTTTAACTCACAGTCATGTGACATTCATTCAAGCCAAAAGACTGAAAAATCTTTTTTTCCCCTTTCAAGCTGATTAAAAGATTTTCCTGCAAAACACGAGTGTTCTCCATTGATTGAAAATGGCTGGTCCTGTTGAGTACTTATAACAAGTGGAAATTCAAAAACCACATAAGAATAAATCAAGTAATACACTTGCTAATTGTAGAGCAAAGTATTTCTACTAAGAACAACAAAAGTGTTAAAATACAATATATAACAAAACATAAGCTCAACTACTGTACATTTATTCAAAATTGCTTTAATAACATGTATAAATTCCAAAATGAAAATGACTTTATGAAGGAGGGATCTCTGGGTTGGAGTACATCAACATTAATAAATAACATTAGTCTTTATTTCTTGACAAAAGGAAACAACACACACAAACATCCTCCTCTCCACGTATAAACGACTTCAGGGAGAGGGAATGTTTCCCATTGCTTTGCACTCTAACTCTGGTTTCCAGTTTCTACAAACTGCTGGGCTGTTACAGCAAGGCTTTGAATCGTACAGACCTGCTCCAACACGCTACTTTTAATAACTAAACATTACGCATTCAGAGTGTAAATTGGTTGGCATTACTTCATATATGTTTGCGCATACTGAAAGGTCTGCATTTCATACAGTATATCCAACTTATTTGGCTTTTAACATGCCCTTCATCACAACAGAAAAGGTCAAGCCTAAATGAACCGATTACTCAGGTGTGACCCGCTGTGAGTAGTCAGTTCAAAACAGAGAAGCCATTCTGAAACGCTCACTTACAGACAGGTGGAGACAGACTGATACAATAACAAAATTAGAATAAAAAAAATAATCATGGCACTGAGGGAGAATGGCAGTTTGGATCATGAGCATGACTATCAGTAAGGCAAAGCAAATCTCAGAGCCGTACTGGCAGGGCAAGGTGTGCTCTCTCGCTCTCTTTCTCATAGAGGGTTTAAAGGCTGGAACCCCTGTTTCCAACCTGTAGCGAGCCATGTTCCATGAGTTAAGGCTACTACTGATGGTGGCAAGAAACATTCATGAGTATCCAACATTGTTAAATAACATTTACATGCATACATGGAGTACAAAGTACATACACCTTCTTAACACTGACTTCTGTAAATGTCCTCTAATGCAACAGATCACCTGAAACCTTTTTCCGTTTAGCTGCAGAGATGTTCTCTGTGGACAGCACCAGACTGATGACTCTACCAGCCTCTGTACCATAGAGGATGCAGTACCTATAAGCAGAGACTGAGGACATTCTCTCTTTTTTTCCTCTTCTATTCATTTAATTCAACAGTATAGCACTGTGCATACGTCCAAAGTGATATGAGAAACAGCATAAAAGAAAGAAAATCCTGAAATACTAAAGGAATTTATGGCAACGTGAGGAAAGAGCTCCCTCTTGTGGTCTGAATGGAGACATTCCAGTCAACCACAGCTATTCCAGAGGGAAAAAAAAGCAAAAAGAAGCAAAAGGGGCTGTGTAAAAAAATTAAATGGCTAACTTACGCCAGGATATCATTCACTCTTTACAGGAACAAGGCCTTATTCTGGGCAACAAAATTACAGATATTTCTAAACATGGCACTGCTCACAGTATTATTCACATCAGTAAACGCAAAAAAAGAGAAAAAAATAAAATTCTGACATTTACAGGAATGCAAAATGAAATTAAACATTGCCATTTCCACATACTCTATATATATGTAACTTTACACACTTGATTTTAAAGTGACAGTATCGTAGCACAAACTGGTATACTGTGCGACATCTTGTAACACACGACACACAGGCACACAAGGACACACACACACACACACACACGCCCGGACACACACAACATACATAATATTGACAAGAAATACAGTAATCAGAATGAAATTATGAAAAAAAAAATTCAACAGTCCTGGTCAGAAAACAAAGCATCCCTACTTCACATGGTGCAATCAGAATACTGAACTACATGCTAAACCTGTCGACAGCTGATTTCAAGGCAAAATGGAGTAAAAAAAATCCAACAAAATGACCAACAAGCTTGTATGTCATCAAGGAAATACGGGAGATATTTTTTCCCCATTCAGTTCAAAAGGGCTAATGTACCTACAAGCTTCATATTGTGGAAGTACCTGCAATGCCAGTGCAATATTTCAGATAGAAGAAAAAAAAAACAAACCAAACACACACACACAAACACACAACACAAAGGAGCATGTAATGGTGAACAATAGTATATATAACAGTTTCAGTTATGTCAGTCAGCGCTTCTTAAGCCAGTCCTATAAGCGTAAGGCGGGGGGGGGGTTCAATGGGAGTGCACTGCATTTACACGCTGAGTGTCTCCCGTTTTATGCTCCCTGGGCTCGTGTCTTCTTTGCATGGCGCTCTATGCCCCGGGAGTTCACCTCAAAGCGGCCAAACAGCCAGTCATGACGACAGAAACAGCTCACGCTCAAATAAAGAAACTTTACTCAATGCTAAATGTGTTACAGCACCAAGTCAGAAGTCAGGACTTCTGTTTTTTCGTAATACCATGAGGTTTCTCAATAAATGCATTCTCTACTTTCTCCTGTTTACATGAACTTGCCTCAACTCAGCTGATGAAAACCCATTCACATTCTGTTGCGACAGAACTGTGGAAGCTAATAATTTTGTCAGCCTAACTAACTGCCATCAGATCAAATAAATGCCATCGAAATAACTGTGATCGCAATTGGAAATTGACACACCTGCCAGCTAGCACAGCGGATCGACTGTTACAAAGCTGTCGCTGCAGCTTTGTAAAACGCTGTGTTTTTCCCTCTTCGGAATAACGCAGGGTGGAACCCGCCAAAACCATTTCTAGTACAGCATAAGGATGTCCAATCTTATCTGTAAATAGCCAGTGTGGCTGCGGGCTTTCATTTTATAAAGCAGGAGCCCACCCGATGCTGAAAAAGCTGTAGCCACACTGGCCCTTTGAGAATAAAATGAGACCCCCCTGGCATAGACGCTCCATCCACATACCCCAAACCAATGTCTGAGTACATGTGAGGACTGGTTTAAGAAACGAAGACATCAGTCATCAGAAGCTACTTCCTAATTACTCCAACGTCAAAGACTTCAAAACCAGTCATTCAGTGCTCCTGCCCTGAACAAGAGAGTATATGTACTAGTACAACGTTTCATTGCCCGTTCAATACTGATAAGTCTATGTTTAGATGTACGGTATTCCTGAGAACAGAGGGAGAGTGGAGAGGACCTGACTGAAAGCATCACCACATAACCATTCCTTTACCCTGGAGAGTAGGCAGGCCATCAGCGCTGCCATCATGGCTGTAAATGGGCTGCCACTGAACGTTCATCCACTGTCTGAGGGGGCTGAAAAAAGAACAAGGTCAAAACGTAACCCGAGTAACAAAACAAGGGCAGAAAAATAAGGCTTTCCGCAATGAGTGCCATGATGCGTTTGACCATGTGGTCACGTGTCCGTTTCTGCATGTACTCTGATGATGACAGAGCAGTTTGCTGGGTGATGTCTCCGGACTCTCCAACCAACCAACCAAAATCCCAAAGGGAGAATTATCTCGAGCCAGCCTGCACAAGCTGCTTGGAATTTCAAGTATGCTACATCAACAAATTCAACTGAACAGATACTGTCACTTTAAAACAGGTTAAACACAATATTCACAAATATACATTTAAGGCTTAATTGTTTAGCACTAACAATAGTAGCAGCAGTAAAGCACTTCTGAATTAATAACAAAAAAGAACAACATTAATACAATAATAATAATAATAATAATAATATATTAAAGTGATCAATGATCAATGACTATTTCACTTAGATGAACAGCTTCAGACACAAGCAGACACCTTGCCAAAAATCTGAGCGATTTCAGTCCTGATTTGACAGAAGTTTGGCCAGGCTGCTGGACTGTATAAGCAAATACTTCCTTCTCACAAAGCAAATATCACTTTGTGTCCCAATGACCGCCCTCCCCCCTTAATGTGTTAGAGAACACTGCCTGTGGAGAGTAAAAGGGGGGAAGAGAGGAAAAAAAATAAAAAATAAAAAGCACACTTACGTAAGCCCATCATTCTCCGCCGTACTCATGACACACACAAGATGAAGGTTACAACACAAATGCGAGGCCCTGCCTGGTTCAGAACTCATTTAAAAGAACAGCTCAGCCAAACATTCTATGAATACAGGCTAGAAGTCACTTGATTTCACATTGATAATGCTAATCGGTGCCTATTTGCTTTCATTCACTGCATTCGCTGTACTGTTGATTTTGACTGGACCACTGTTAATAGAGAAAGGTGCCCAATTTCCACTTGGAACCTATCATTACGCTCATCGCTAGTGCAGGTTTTACAGTCTGTCACCATGTCATATCTTTTACTGGAGTCAAAAGGAGAGGTTGCACTATCTAACCCTGTATTTTCTTGAAACATCATTGAAGCTGTAAGTATTTCGGTTACTGTAATGCTACACAACAGCACGTGCGATACGCCCGTTCGGTGCTGGTCAAAGCCAAATTCAGCAGTCACCATCCAGAGACGTTCAAACAGCCCCGAGATTCTACAGAGACACAGAGAGAAAACTCCAGAAGTGACTACGGATCACTGGTATACAACTTCAGATCAGCTCTAACGTAGGACTCTGCGATAGCAGACCGTGGTCTGGGGATATCACCCATGCCATGCTACTTTAGAAAACAACAAAAGCACGCACACACACGTATCTCAAGAAAGTACCAAAGCAACACGATTAAAGGCCATTTTTGACATCAGCAAAAGTTCAGCTGCAGTTTTTTTTTTCCCCACATGTCAAGACTGGTGGCTGAGAACAGCAGGCTAAGCTGAAGAGTTCCTTCCTTTCTCCGGCCTCATCCTGAGGCCTTTCACATATGAGCCCTCACAGCTGCCCCTCTCCAGCCTACATGTGTATATATTAACTATATTCAATATATGGACTTATATATTAAATTATCATATAAAACACACACACAATATTTGTAATTTTCCTGTCCTTGCTTGAGCTTGACCAAAAGCCTCAGGGGACATGCAATGCCATGAGACTGACCAACAGCAGAGGTCCTGCTGGCAAACACGCTGGAGCTGGAGCAGGCCTGTGCTGCACACATGAACGATGGACAGTCAGGACGCGTGCCGGAAGGAGAGAGGCTCCCTGGCGCTAGAGCTAAAAGCGGGCGAGAGTTAAGAACGTGCTCTCTGGTCTGGCGTCTGTGGCTGGGGGTCGCTATGTGAAGATGTGTGCCGTGGAGGGCACGGACACAAACTCCCGCAGGATGTTCTTGGCCATCTCGATATTGTTCTGTGCAATCATCAGAGCTTTCTGGATGTCCTGGTAGGAGTAGCCCTGGCTCATGAGCAGCTCGATCTCGCTGCTGATCTGCGGGTTGCTGGGCCCCGCCGCGGCTCCGGGAGGGACCGGACTGGGTCTGCGCTCGGAGTTAATGCGGCGGGGCAGAGGCTTGGGAGGCCGCTCTGGAGCTTCCCCTGAGTCGAATGCTGAAAGAAAAATGGCATGAACATGTGCACTTGTTATTTAAAAAAATAATAATAAAAAAGGACCAAAAAAAAAAAAGCATGACATCTGTAATATATAGGCAGGAGAGGTCCCTGAGCTACATAAACAACGTATATGTAAATATAAAATTAAATATTTGCAATATAGAGAGACAAAAAAAGAATGAAAAACTAAATAAGTGAGTGGAACTGTGTACTGCATGATAAAATTAAGAAATGAACACCCTACAGGGCTCTATGCCATGTATAAAAATGCTAAGAAGGCCCAGTTCACTTTGATTTTGTTTGTTTTGTTTGATTCTTGTAGCAAGATGGAACAGACTTGATCACAAAGACTGCTCAACTGGCTACTGTTTCAATAGGAACAGTGACTAAAATCACATTTAGATCTATGGGAAAGACATCAGTAAATACTGTGGTCAAAAGCGCATATTCCATGAGTGTGACACTCATGTGTTGGTGTGATATGTAAGAAAAACCAGAAGAGCAAGTGTTCCTCAGATGACTGAAAGTGTCAAAGTGGGACATGATCAGACTGTGTCAGCAAGAATAGTCCAGCCACAACCACACAGAGAGGGACATTATAGAAGGGTTGCAGTGCAAAAAACCCTTATTACAAACACAAGACAAATTCATGTTTGAGAATTCAGTGGTGTAAAGTCATAGTCACTGCTCTAAAGATACGAGGAAAGTGATATGATCAGAAGAGTCACCATATTCGCCATAAGTGGGCGAGTGCATGTGTGGTGTACACCGAGAGCAAGAGCTGAATGCTTGACCCTCATAGTGAAGGGGTGTAGTGGCTCAGTTACTCTGTGGGGGGGCATTTTGTTGGGACAGTTTGGGTCCACTTGTTCCCTTAGAGGGAAGGGTCTCAGGAAAATCATTGAAGTTTTTCTGACCGATCACCTTTATCCTACGATGAAACAACTCAGACAATGGAAGTGGTCTCTTCCAGGGCATGAGGGGCCACAGAATAGTTTGAAGTTAATGAAAATCATGTAAGTCATATGCTGTGGCCTTCACAGTCACCAGATCTGAAACCAATTCAACACTAATGAGAGCTTTTGAACTGACATGTTAGACAGCACTCTTCACCAACATCAAAACACCAATTCAGGGAATATCTCTTGGGAAGAATCATGATTTATTCCTCCAGTACAGCTTCAGAGACTATGCCAAGGTGCACTAAAGCTGTTATGGACACTTCTGCAAACTTACTAAGAGACTATATGTAGATTTGTCCTTTAATCTGTCAGCATTTTGTATGTACAGATACAGTTAAAAACACAGCGATGATGACATATGCATGTCATACTTCTGTGGAAGTATTACATGCCAACAGATTTAACTGTTAACCTTTTAAACTGCAGGTTTATTATCCAGTAACCACTATGAATTACTCAATAACTCTATGAATTATTCATGAAACTACTATGCAAGTTATGCACTGGGGCCCCCACCGAAAAATAAATGAATAAATAAATAAATAGACATTTAGATTCCACGCTTATTGGTAAAAATCTCACCAATAAAATCTTTGCCAAAAAAAAACTAAAAAGTGCTTTGCATTAGGGTGTGATGAACAGATATTTCTAATATAGGGATGTACTCACAGACTGGTCCTCCTGGCTCACTTTCCCCAGAGAGACGGCTGAAAGTAGCAGACACGTTGCTGACCTCTGAGAGTGTGCGTCGGGCTACAGGTAGAGGGGGCTTTGGGATGTCATAGCCGTTCTCCTCTTCCTCCTCACACTCTGTGTCCCGTGGCCCATTAGAGCTTGCAAATGGAGGCAATTCTGAGTAGTCTGGACATGGAAGAAAATAAAGCATTAAAAGCTCACCTCAGTGCACACGTGGCAGCAATTATGGCTGACCGGAGCTCATCTACTATGTGGATAATTCAGTGGAACGTACAGGCTGAAGGACCTGTAAGAGCATGGCGAGTGTTGGTGTACCTGAGTCTCTGGCTTGATGAGGCAGAGAGGCCGTGAGGGCCTGTGCTTGAATGTTGTACATAGCTTCGTACATCTGTGGGCCCTCAGAGTCCATGTCACTGAGCAAAGGCCTGGAGAGTTATTACAGATTTTAGACAAGGATATCCTGAGTGAGTATTTGACATGTTGGGATTAATTAGGGACGTAGCAATCTCATCTTAAAAATATCATAAGAGTCAACTATTTGAATTAACCTGTAACAGCTATGGTAAAAGCCAGATTCAATCTTTGGTTAAGGCTACTTTACTCCACACAGCTCTACGTGCAACAGTTGACATCATTCACACCTTGCAGCATTGAGGCAACTACTTTTAACAAGTAGTTTAGAAGTGGCAGTGTGGAACTGTGTGTATGAAAGTTCACAATTACACATACTAAAAATAAAGTCAACACATGACAGCATTTTAAAGAAACTAGTAACATTGTAAATCCTGCCTAACCTGAAAAGGCTTAGTACTAAGTACTGGCACATAATGGATATTAATCGGATCGGGGCAAAAAGTCAATCAAGACATGACTAACATCTGTATAACATGCATTTGTCAAGCAAGATAAATGTAAGTGTAGCCAACATATACTACTGCATGTAGCAGTGAGAATGTCAACTTTAAACAGACCTAAGAAGCATATTATTCATCATGTCTACCACCTAAATGAAAGGTTACAGAGTTTTGTCTTTTAAAGCACTTCAGTTCAGACCAGCAGGTTTGGTATGTAGGTGTAAGGCCTGAGGTTCCATTTACCTGGAGTTGAGAGAGTTAGGTTGCGGGGGTCTGGGCACTGCCTCCCCCAGGGCAGGAGATATAGTGGATAAAGCAGGACGAGAACTAGGAGTCATGTAGTCAGAATCTTCCTCACTTTCAAAGCCATCTTCTCCAGTCAGCTGCTTCACTGCAGGAAGAGGCCTGTTGACACCACACAGAAGTCAACACACATCAGAATTAGAATCACTTTATTAGGCAAGCATGCTCGCATGGGCTAGGAATTTGTCTTGGTGGAATGTATGCATACATAAAGGCACAATACAGAATACAAATAACGGAAATCAAGTAATACAAATAGATACACAGCTACAAAAGGTAAAATAGACATAGCGACAGCATGTTTAAAAAAATTAATGACTTTTTGACTAGTTGCACACAACAGGAAACATACAGACACAGAATCTGACAAACACACACAGTTTACTGATGCCCCTAACGCAGTAGCTTAAGCGGATGGACATCTGATGCACCCACCTGGCCAGGGAGTAGATAGCATTAGCCGATGCAGAAGGCTTCACTTTTGGGTTGTCGTATTCAGACCCTCCAGAGGCCGTTGCACCAAAACTCTGCAGCAGTGACAGAAATGCAAACCACATCACATTAATAAAACTAGCTGATAATTAGCTAATGACTGTTCTATGATACAAAACACTAATACACCAAAAAGGCTGAAGGCCCCAAAAACTTACAAGCTGGTGGTCCAAACTGGCAGAACTGCTGTTCCTCTGTGCATCCATGGCTGAGGGCAGCGCCAGTGGAAGTGAGTGACGGTTGGACAGCTCTCGTGACGCACGGGAGTCTCCCCCTCCTACAGCGGGCTGCTGGGAGGGCGCTTTGGGCACCGGCCGCGGGTTCCAGTCCACCATGTTGCGGTTTGGCGGAGCAGGAGGCAGTTTGTCCCGAGTTGGGTCGCCGGGTGTGCAGGGCAGGGGGCGTCTCGGGAGTCTGTTGTCAGTCCCAGCTGAGTGAGGGCGGTCTGGAGGAGGAGGAGGTGGGAGGTCTCGTAGAGCTGGGGGTAACGGTAATGGCTTGTCTTTGTGATGAGAGGGGGCCTAAGGTTAGGAAGGTATACAAAAGGTAGACAAGTTAGAAAAAACCCGCATTATAAACATTCTGCTGTTACTTTACCAAGATTAAAAGCAATTAGAGGCATAAAATTGTTTCATTTAGAATTAATCTGTTGTGAGGTTAGAGATTTACGCTGCTAACTGAAATGCTAAATCATATTGCTCCAAGACTCACAGCTTTACAGACAGTCCAAGATGGAAAACAGGACAATAACATTGAAATACCTGACCCCTAAAACTGCATACAAACCACTACAATAAGACAGTGTTGGTGGTTTTACCTTGGATGTGGCACCTGGACTAGAGGCCCCTGGAGGGTTTGGTGGTCTGTGCTGCAGCAGGTCTAGACGTGGGGGCACTGGGGGCAAAGAAGCTTGAGGAGCCATTGACAGTGGGGAAGGTGGTCTCTCGACCTGTGAAAAACCAAACAACTTTCTCAACTTCTGTTCTTTGAAAAATTGGCCATAAAGTAGTAGAACAGGTCTCAACATGAAAATGTATAAGAGGATATTTGCAAGTTTATTCAAACACATTTTTTCTTCCCTCTAGCATTTGACAGATTAAAATATCCAGATTCAAAGCCAGAATGCTGAACATCAAATATGTAAAAAAGATATTTTAACTTTGACAGAGAATAGATGAAAATTAGATCAATATCTCATGTAAAACCAGACAAGAAGGAGCAGCCACAGCATCTGAAATGCATCATAATACATAGAGCAAACCAGGCAACCAGGACTTGTGTATTTCTGGCCAGAAACTTGCAGGCTAACTTTGTTCTTGGTAGGGTCTGGTAGTTCTTGTATGGAAGCCTAAATAAATCATAAATTCAATAAATCACACTTTAACTGTGTATAAATCTCTTCTTAACTAAAGCTTAGTGTGTTACGTTAGCCTTTAGGCCATTGTTACTGTGGCCTAATCTAGACCCTTTCCAACATCCACCATAGGCTGATTACACACCCCTTTACCATCACTGCACACCTGTACTTTAAATTCTTTAACTATTTATCTATTTGAATGCAGCTATTAGGACATGTACAACAAAATAAGAGAAAGCACTGAATGTAAGACAAATCTGATTTATTTGTGCACACTTTGAATTTCATGGACAACAGCTTTTTGACACTTAAACTGGAATTGCAACAATTTTTTTTTTTTAAATAGTGCATAAATAAATGAGATGCACACACAGTCATTCAGAGTGGCATCATGTGAAATGCTTCAGTATAGAGAAACGCAAACCACCACAAACCAATCTGACTCTGACTGAATTATGCATACATTTTGAAAAACAGGTGGAATTCCTCTATAAATCGTCCAGCCACAGGGACATCATGGTGAATCAGCTCGAGCCTAAACCAGACTGAGGACATCACTGATAAAGATAAAATAGCTCCCCTGCAGGGGTCAGACTGCACTTCACTTACTTTACTACAAGCCAGCTTGCTCATCATGAGGTGCGGGTCTTCTAGACGGTCATCATCGTCGTCATCATAGCTAGGAGAGGGTGCCCCCTCTGCTCCAGACATGCCCCTGCAGCCCCCATACGAACCCCCGCTGTTGTCTTTTGGGTCAAAAGGGTCGACCACGATGGGTTCGGTGCCCTTGATCTCACAGCGGCAGAAAGGGCAGCCCTGACCTTCTGACTCCTGTGGACAGAGGTGAGAGACTGTGAGCGAATGAGGCAGGATGAAGACGTAACTTCAGCTTTTCATGTGGTACTGGCTCACCTGCCATGCAGTGAGGCAGGACGTGCACATGAGGTGGCCACACGGCTCAATCTTCACGTCTTTGTCATTCTCTGCACAGATCTTGCACAGCTGGAAGGTGGAGCCCATTTCGCAGTACAGCTCATATTGCTCCTGAAGAAGATAATGAGAGAGTGAGCACACGTAATTTCACACAATTGCACAGCAGTAATATCAAAGCAAGCTGAAGGTAGAGTGCCACTGACCTGTGTGACTTTGATATGGTCTTGCGGTGAAGGCTCACAGAGCCCTGTGAGGTCGGGGTTCTGAGTCCGGCCATCTGGGAACAAATAGCTGTACGACAGAGATGCTGTTCTTAGAACTGAGGTATTTCTAGTGCAAGGCAGCTAATACCACTCAAATGGATATTTATAATAAAAACTGACAGTGAACTACTCAAGATTCAAGATCTTGCCGCAGAATAAGAGACAATGGTAGTACCTGGAGTGGATGTGTACACCCTAACCACTGAACAAGAACCTTTAAGCCAGGGGTTCTCAATCCTGGTCCTGGAGCTCTACCACTCTGCAGAGTTTAGCTCCAACCCAAATCTAATACACGTGATCCTGGTAATGAAGGCTTCAGGGACATCTAAACGTTAGAGGCAGGTGTGTTGGATCTGAACTCTCTAGGGTGGTAGATCTCCAGGACCAGGACTGGGCACCTCTGTTCTAAGCTCTCCTCTAAACAAATTAAGATAATTAGCAATGCTTCATATAAGCAAGTAAGTAAGTAGTGATGGGCATTTTGAATTAAAACCCAACCATCTGAAGCTGGTTTGATATCAGAAGTATTGCAGTACTAAATTGAAACATTTAAAGTCTTTTGTGTGTGCACCAAAGAGATCTTAAAACATTGCAAGAGCATAATGCACAACTCTCTAGCGGCTTTTCGTGTGAGGCTGGTATAAAAGTCTACATTGATTGAGGAAAGAAGCATATTACAAGCGGCACGCTGCTTCGAATCTATAATGCACTTCAAGCATGCATGAAATTTATACTGCGCTTTAATCACAGCACATTTATTAACAGAAACAGTGCTGGGCTGTGTTGCAAATTACCTTCATTTGACAAAGCCTGCACCAAATATTCTCTCCATCTTCACTGAGACCAAAGTATTGCCACATTTGGCTTCATTTGGAAATACACTGGAAATCATACTGCACTCAAACAAACTAATGTCTCATGTTCAACAGGAAAGAGTAACTGACATATCAGAACGTTTGTGTGAATATTCCACAAATGTGAGTGTTTTGACCGTGCTATGAAAGATGCAAACAAAAGTCAGTTTAAATCCCAAGATTTAGATGAGACAGACTATGTATTAGGATATTTATTGTATTTGGAGGATTACTGTAAGGGGATTACACCATGATTAGTCGACTGCCTAAACGTGATAACCGGGACTATATACTAAACTTCTCAGCTTGTTGGTGGTGACAATCGTAACTGTGTCTGAACAAACTTACAATCCTTCCCGGAAGCCGTCGATGAGAGCCTGGAAGAGGGGCTTGTTGTGGGGAATGGTCTGTAGGATATTTCCATCAGCAGTAACATAGCCGATAGCCCACTGGCCCAGTCGTGTACAGCTCAGTCTGAAAATGTAGCTACAGTGCAGAACAAAGCAATGTTACTTTGCAGTACTGAACAAAACATCAGTGTTTCTGCATCCACAAATAACAGAGGCACAGACAATACTGGTATCTGCTGTTTCTTTTTACGGTACAGATGTCTGTCACGGAACGACTGCCTCAACCTACGACGACTAATACAGCACGCTCTAATGAATATGTAAGTGTCTGGCTGCATTACAGGTCGTCTTATGATGGCTTCTACTTGCCGGAATGGTTGTGACATCATGGGTGTTCTACAATACAACTATTGATGGTAGGTACCAAGCTGTTCTGCGATCCACTTGGAGCATGAGGCTTTTCTGACTGACCGTGAATCGCCCCTGTGTGCCTCTGTCACTGCTTGTTTGGAAATAGCTACTAACGATTATCTAAGTGTGCTTGTGTCATGAATGGCCATTCGGATGGGGCCGTGGTTGCGTGCGAATATATAGTAGGCATCTTATCCAAAAGGACAATGAATGTAGGCCCTATTGTTATGCATAGCCCTTGTGTAGGAGAGAGGCCAAAGAGCCTTGACAGCTTTGATTATAAAGTAGCTGTATGTAATTCTCTGTGTGCCTGTACACACGTAGGTGTGTAGTGGGTGTTTTACCTGCCAGGCTTGTGGATGAACTTCTGTAGGCGAGCCTTGACCTCATCATAGGTGAGAAAGGCCATGTATCCTGGATGAGTCACTGCCAGGCTGTTCCAGTTCCGCAGCAGGGATGACCACGGCTGCATAGCACAGACAAACATACACATACAGTCAGTTGAAAGAAAAAGAAATAAATACAAATAAAAGCATATTCTCCAGTGAACTGGGCTGTAATATCCATATCGATGCCCATAAGCAGAGCCTGGAGTGTGAATGAATCACACCGTACAGTACTTCTGCCAGTTAGCCTGATGAAACCCTCAAGCCTGTGTTTAAAAATACAGTGCTACAGACTGGAACAGGTGGACGTGTAATTGGAAGATGAGGCTATTTTATGAATGTGAAAGCACAGGTAAAAAGTCAAACAGACTGAATCATTTCCCAATAAACCCACAACAGGTGTGCCAAAACAATGAGCTTTTATACTTCGATCTCTTCTAAAATTACAGAGTTGTATTTACTGGCTGTGGCACAGACAAACAGAAGGGCTCAATCCCTTTTTAAAATGAATTGCAGTCCTGTTTTCATTTCATAATAGCTGATTTTGAAGAGCCAGGGAAATAGACAATTAAGCCATAAGTATAACGATGAATCAGACATCACGCAGTTCTGAGGTACATCCAAATACTACAAGAACGGTTTCGAACACACTCCCCTTCAGTGTGTCAAAGAAATTTCAAAGAAAAACATAAGCGGTTAAGAATTTTTCTCTTCCAATTTAAATTCTAATTGACCAGACATCCACTTGAGTGACATCACTTCACTAGGATTTCATTGTCATGGTCATGATTATAATATTAGAAGACACTTTCTTCTAACACACCTCATTTTTGTTGCCAGTATATAAACAGAATAAGAATAGCACAGTGAACTCTGCTATCAACACTGCCATGATTAGTTTTTTTTTTTCAAGTTAAAAGTTGAGCAGAACTGAACTTCACTGCGTTGGTCAGATCATTTACATCACGCTCACCAATGTTGCTATGCTTCTTGCCATTGATTTTCACTGCCTCTCATTCGAAATGAATGACTTTCAGCTGTCTTGTTACTTTTGTCACCGCAGGTTGCCACATGCACATCAACAGCTATTTTTACCCAATCACTTCTCAGAACGGACGCCTACAGGAAAACTATGACAGGATGTTAATATTCATAAGCTGTTCATTGTGTCAAACATTAGGCTAAATGAGAATTCATAAAAAATGTCATTGCACTTCTTACCACTGTTCCTAAATCCTCGAAAGCTTTAGCTTTTCAGGGTTCTTTGTAAACATATGTTTAATATACAACAAGCTCAATGATGCCAAGAAAAACAATTTCTTGTCACTGGAATGTAACTACAAATATCTGACATCTTTGAAACATGTTAACTTCTGAAGTCCTGAAACATTAATCAAAGACTTTCTTATTAAGCCCTCTCTGTACTGATGTAATCAGCTGCAATAGGCTTGTGAGACTGTGTGAAATATACTAGTATATTTGATATTATGTACCAAATACACCAAATGTACCATTGATTATGCCCCTAGACATCAGTCAAACTGGGAGAGGGACTTAATAGGCATTAGCATGTTTTCAGCATGGCAGGTAATGCTGTATCACAAAAGAGGAGCCTGCTGAAGTCAGAAAGAAAACAAACACGCTGGTCAGAAACATGTAAGGTAACTTCCTTTGGTTTGGTAGTTCTTGCTATAGGTATAAATAGCTTACTGCATTACGTATGCCTACAAACTAATGTTACTGCAGCCTATTATTGTTATCAGTCTTATCTAACAGCGCTGCTATAAGCTCAGCTTCAAAATCATTTGCATGCACATGCATGGTTTATGAGAGAAGACTACAGCTCAACCACGGTGAGATGTGCAGCCTTGTGCTGCAATAAAATGATGTTTTGTTGCCCTGTTCTGAAGTCAGACAATATATTAGAGTAGGTCTAAGTCGTAGATGGCACGCTTCTGACATTTAATCAGACCTAATCAGTTAGCTTTTTTTTTTTTAGGTCCTTCAAAAGTCTCGCGTTTTCTTTAAGCAAATGAGTTAATTTAGCACCTCAACTCTACACAGACGTAACAGTTGATCATCTGGATCATAGAACAGATGTTACCAAGAATTCAAATCCAAAACAAACAAATCCAAGAACACCTAAACCCAACAGTTCTTCACAGATAGAAGAGCAGAGTGTCCTGCTGTCCTTTATCCTAATTTAGATTTACCTTAATGCAAAATCCCTGTTCCAAAACAGATATAAACTTATAGGTCAGTTTAGGTAAAATATTGTATGGATCTATGGACTGAATCATCCAAAAGGGCTGCCCCCACCAAGTGCATTCTGATGCAACGCAGACGTGGGCAAAAGGAGGACGAATCAAAGGAAACTTGAGTTGAATAAAAACGAAGTGGAGGCAGGTCACTGGCACAGAGAAGCACGCTCGCTGTCCCAACAGGCAGGTTCATTCAGATGCAGATGAGAAGCATGACCTTGCTGTGCGGAGCTTCATCAAAGAGCACACAGGCTCTCTGTAAACAGCCTGACTATTTCTGGCTGATGGTGAGGCCAAATAAAGAGGCGGTGCAGTGCTCCAAGGCACGACTCAGGGCCAGCCACACACCGTCGGCTGCACCACACGTTAACCGATCTAATGCTCAAATTGAGGATGCACTAGGATGTTGGTACGGTATCAGTAACGAACTGTGTGGCAATTAGGGTAGAACTTTGGACCAGAGGACTAGACTAACCTAGGTGTACTGCAGCCCTTGATATGAAGATCTCAATCAAGTTAGACACTGATTTCTAGGGCTGTCACAATTGCTAATATTAGTAAAATTTACCTTTTATTTAAGTCATTAACATGTAAACAAAGTAATTCACAGTGGTTTATTATGAAATGCACCACTCTGGAGAAAGCTACTGAATGAGAATTGTTCACAGTGGTGACAGGAAACAGATTTCTGATGTTTCGTGCCTGTTTCAGGTCTTTAAAAATACCTCACAGACAGTTAATACTTTAAATGCTAACAAATACACTGCCTAATGCCTGACATTTCTGAGATAATGTTCTGGCCTAAATCTTTGAAATCTTTGATGCATGGTTTGCTACTGTTGCCTTTTTTAAAAAATTGATTACACAATGCACCGGTAGATCAGTAGATTACTCCTTTACTAACTGAGAGTAATAACAAAACACATCAACTACAGTCATTTGCTGTATATTACAAAATACCAAGGTAGGTCTGAGATTTCTGCAAGCCGGAGATGAGGCACCAATCTGAATCATAGCAGCTTCAGAAAGAGCCCCTCCTTCTTCCCAAATTAGCCTTGCTGCACATGGATTTGAAGAAAGCTGCTTAATTAAAGGGCAGATATGATATGTAATGTTAGCCTGCCTCTGTGATGTCTCTTTTAGAGCACTCAGCATAATGAGCCAATTACTTACACAGGAACATGTGCCTCCAAATGCTCCTCTCTGAGCAGTTACACTGCTTCATGAGGCAGCAGAGAGAGACAGATCGAGAGAGAAAGATGCTCCTGAGCAGTGAGACAGAATAATGGAGCAAATCCCTGAACTGCTGCAACTGTAGCAGTATTAATAGATCTGAAGGTCTGGCAACTGTATGTTACAGAGGATGCACTATGAAACCAGCAAATAACTTATCAAATAGGAAGCAATTTTATTGCATGTAGTGGTTTATATATTGGTTCATTTTATTGTGACAGTACTGAAAGCTTGCAAAGGCAGAGAATGTCAGGCAGCCTTATTGAGGGACTTTTGTTTCAAATTACTGCACTTTGTAGATGCTTCGTCTGTTCACTTTAAAATCACTGAAATGACACACCAGTAGACTGTGACCAGTGCTAGAAAGAAAAGCGCAGGCTAGAAAGACTTTCATCACTAGTGTTCCACACATGGATTAAGCCTCATCCTGTTTTACAATACAATGACATTGGTTATTTTCCAGGGAGTCCTATAAAAGGGTTTTTCATCCCTTTTATGCGAATTTAAATGATGTGCATAAAAAGCCTGGATGGAAAAGACCAGAAATGTGGGCTCTTGTCTCATGCCTTAAGGTGGCAATCGTGCAATGTTATCTTTGGAATTTTGCACAATAGACTACTTAATGGAAACACTAAAAGATTAACATAAAGATTAACATATCACATTTTCTTGTGCCAACTTTTTAGAAATTCACTTGAAATTTCAGAAATGGTTGAATGGAAACCCCAGCATAGATTAAGGTTTACTCTGCATCTTTAGGTTTTTGCTGTCACTCTGATCTTTTATCAGTGCTTACAGTGATGGCTATCAATCAGATCCACTCATTCAGTGCGATGAAATTTCACAGAAATCTTTGTGTAACTAGATTACCAGAAAAGTGCACTTGCTCAAAGAAGCTAGAATTAGAATGTGATGGCAGCACCACACAATGTCAAGACTGTCCTGCAGTCAAAAAAATGGTCAATGTTGAACATTTACTTCCACAGAGAGCAGACACAATGGAGGAAGTCTATGCTTAGAGCTGAGAGACTGCACCTGAAAGAGCCTGGTGAAGATGTCAAACTCAAAGACAGAGATGTAGTCATTGCAGGTAAGGTCAATGGTGGACTTCAGGGCCATGGCCTCTAAGCCTGAGCTGATAGGGTGGAATTCATGCAGTGCCTGTCGAAAGAGCTTCCACTGCACAATGGTCCTGCACAGAAAAGCAGGTCACAAAGAAAGCAGAAGTTCAAAATCTTCAACAATTACTCATATTATACTAATCAGCTGAAAGTTTGAACACACTACTCACTTGTCCCCAAATGATCTTCTCCAGAACTCTGCTGCATCTGCCTTGGTGATTCTGAAGTTATCCCCTTGGAACAGGCCATTGGGGAAGATGGCTTTGAGCTCTGCCAGCATATGGCTGAATATCAGAGACAGTTTGGTCAGGTTCCGTCTGAAAGAAAGGCACGCAAAAGAAGAGAGAGTCAACAATCAAAAGTCAGTTACAATAAGAACATGATATTAAACATTTATCTGCGGAATGGAAAGATTAAGGAAGTGACACTTCTTGTCACATGTTCTAGAGGCTGTTTGACAAAGGGGGTGAAAACACAACAACAAAAGGTTTTTCAACAATTGGTTCCTCCATGTTGGTTTGGGTGCTGGAGAAGAGTAGATAATGCTGTTCATATCACAACCTCTTCACACCACTTTTACCTCTTCCTCCAGCAGCTCTTTACATTGTGTGAACATGTCATGATGAAAGAAATGACAAACCAGAGCAGATCTATTTGGGCTTTCTTAAAGACTTGACAGGCAAAAAAGTATTAATTATTCCTAACATCAGCTGGCTGCTCAGCAAGTACCACATATTGACCTTCTACACAACATTTTAGCAAGATCTACCAAATGCCATGATCAGTTCCATATATTACTTGAACACTCATTTGGACATCCTAGTAAACACTGAGGAATAAAAGAGACAAGGCCTTCAAAATATACATGATGAGGCTATATCAGTGATATGTATTGTTAGTTTCCTGCTATCCAGGAAAGTTAAAAGTAGCAGACTACAGCATTTTCACTCTCAAATGTGGTTATTTCCAGCATACCAGTAATGTTTGGGCTTTGTGTCTATTCTAATTTGAAGCCTTTAAAATGTATTTTACCTGGATGCCTGTGTTCACATTTACTGTAAAAATTTCATTAACAGCATGCAACGTCCTCAGCATGTGCACAATCCACTCCCATACCATCTTTCTTTCACAAAGACCTACATCTCCAGGGTAAATACCACAGTTTGTTTTTTTTTCCTGGCCATACTGTGTTATTTCTGCGCAGTAGCAGCATGCACACATGAATGAGTGGCAGATTTTGCCAATTCTTTTGAACAGTACGTAAATTGGGTTCAAAATGCACCCACAGCTCGTTTGTCATATGCAAAAATGTAAAACTCACTGATAAAACAAAGTTTCACAGAAACTTTCAGCTTTGCCAGCCAATCAAGATCAAACCGATCAAGATGTGCAAAATGATGCAGCATGATTAGGGAACATGTATATCACTTTACCACTGTGTGAAGTGCTGAAAGTTTGGATGACGCATGATTCTGTCTTTTACTCCTCAGTGCTGATGAGGATCTGAATGGTGCGATTTACATAACTGATTGTGATCTTTGGAAAATTCTGCAAAAATCTAAAGTAGAAACTCATTGTGTAGTACTGACTGAAACACTGGTGGATGTCACACAATGCCTTTAACGGAAGTTAATTTGCACCAACTTGTGCTATGAGCCAACTGCACAATGCACAGAGAATTTTGCTGCCACCACATTAAAAGGACAGCAGCAGTAGCTTTGAAGGATTTACCACACAGCACTGACAAAAAAATCCTAGGGGAAACACCAGAAGTCAAGCATGTTTTTTCTTCCCTCCATCCTATAAAATTTCCATTTTGAGATACAAGGTTTTTGCAATGATGAGATGGTGATGTAGCCACTCCCTCTGTGGAGGTGAAGGTACTCATGGAAAAGGGCACGGAAGCAAGGAAGGAGCATGCTAAGCCTGTACGAGCAGGGAGGGAGGTGGAGGCTACTGCATGCCTGCTGCATTTTTCTGATTCCACTGGCCCTGGGCACATGAGCCCAGGCAAGGCAGGGAGCCCGGCAGGCGGAGGAAGGGGAAAGAAAGCCATGATTTACAGGGCAGCACAGTGGGGGATTGTGCGAGCTCTCCGGCCTGGAAAATTGACATGCACAAGAGAGAGTGCGAGTGTGGCAGCACCGCAGTTGCCTCCAAACGAAACTCCTCGCTCTTACTTGCACACTCTTTGCCTTTGCCTCTCTCTCTCTCTCTCTCTCTCTCTCTGAGTATTGGCAAGAAGGCACACGTGAGCAAGAGAAATCAGAAAACAGCGTGGGTAAAAAAGTTCTCACAGGCTGTCATGCCAAATTAGGAGAGAAATGGCTCTCTTTGCAAATGGCTTTACAGATAAGTCCTAAAGTAAGGATGTGTCATCTTTTGCTTCGCTACTCTTGGAAGGCCTCCATCTTTCACCTCCCCCCCATCCTCATGCAATTCAGAGCCTCTCTCAAGGCCTACTAATCCCCTTCCCACTCTGCCTGATGAATGTGAAATGAAAGTGCAAAAGAGCATCCCCTTTATCAGAGTCGCCGAAATTGCAGCCGGAGCTCCTTGCAAGAGAAAAAAAAAGATAAAAAAAAATGGCGCTCTCAAAGCCTATGCTTAGTAAGTCATTCATCTAGAACCGTGAGAGGAGGGAGCAAGAGCCCATTTGCAGCACACATTTGTTGTTTGTGAAAGCTTGGTGCAGAAAGGTGGCAACATGCCCTCAGAAGAGGCCAGCTGTGCAAGACAGCATGCATGGCAGAGACATTAGTATATGATACAGTGGAAGAAAGATTGCACAGTAAGTACAGCACAGATGCAAAGTTCTAGATGATCTGCAGTACAAAGGCTGCTAATTTGCACAGTGAGGTCCAACCAATTCGAAAACCTGTTTCATCAATGTGGATTTTAACATGCTAAAATTTTCAGAATATTGGTAATATAATTCCTTATGGTCACAAATGACAGCTTTCAGTGTTTTACTAAATTATACAAATGTCAGTTGTTACATTTTTAAAAGTCTTACAAAATCTAAATAATATAAATAATCCTAGCATTCTTAATTGTTTTGTCATTTCAGTGAATTAGCTCTGTATTTAAAGGGAACTTCTGATACATACGTTTTTGGTATTGGTGTAATATTAGGTTAGGGTTGGATGCATTTCACATTTTTTAAAGATTATCAGTTCAACCTGTATTGTAGTAAAAGTGAGTTACTCATTACTGCCACTTTAAAAGACTGAAGACTGGTGTAAGTGCACCAAAGCTTTCAAATCCTCACAAACAAGCCACTCTCTTCATATTACAGAAGTTTGCTCATTACACCAAGTCCACTTAAATATCAGTGTTTTATCACCAGTATTTTTGCTGATACATAAATCCATGTAATCTTCACTACTTACCTTTATACAGGCCCTAACAGAGTGTTTCAATGCCAAAGGCTGTTTTCACACCAAGTTTATTTGCTAAAGTCCGCACCAGAGTTTGGGTTATTGTGACACTGCATCTTTCATTGGGTTTGGTTGGGTTGACATTGCCATGGCACCAAACAATCTTTCCACCAGCTTATCACAGCATAAAATACAGATTCATCCCACAAATATTTTCTTGATAACTGAATGTATTATCGTGACCATAATGGTTGTATAAAAATAAAAACCTTTACATCCACATGTATCACAATGAGCGCGGCAAGGCCGCCCCCTGTAACCACGTCAAGTGCCAGCTTAACTTTCCTTGCTGCACCATGCATGCCCGCGCCTCTCACTATCCTACAATCCCACGCACATTTTTTGCTACTCCCAGCTGAAAATGAATGGGGACAAAATTTCAGACAGCAAATTCGCAAGTAGCGGAAACTGTAAGAAGACAACCACACGCAAACAGACCTGAATCCAGAACTTTAGCTCCAAATTCAACCAGCAGACAGATATCATGAATACACCTAATGTGTAAAAGTTTCATAATATCTTCAACTATTCTTAGCCAACCAAACCAGCCCTGAATCAGCATCCAGGAAGTCCTCTACAGCATGGAGATGTCAAAGCAGTGCACAGTTCCACTGCAGTCAGCTAGTACTTACACAGATCTCTCTCAGAACTTCTACTGATGTATCTGACTAGAGTTACTTTTGTCATGGTCTAGTTTCCTGGATCTATAAACATACACCCCCTGAAAGTGGGACTCTGGCAGAAGTCGTTAGCTTAGCTGCTAAGCTAGCACAGCTAACGATATACAGAGCTCCTTCCATCCTCTGGGATTCCTGCCAACACTCTCCACAGTGAAACTCCTTTTCTGCATTTTCCTTTGCTGCATATGTGACCTATATAGCATATGTATATAGCCTCCTCTGGTTTGCCATAAAGATGTAGCTGAAAGCTGGACAGTTTTAGAACATAGACTACAACACTATGTTTAATTTTAACACTCCATGCCAGTTAGGAGGGGCATGTTTGAAAGTTTTTTTTTTTTGGCAAAGCTTGTTACATTTGTGGTGTATGGTGATGGTTTCCTCCTTAGCCACAGAAGAGGAGGTCTGTCTTTGTTTATATTGTTCTGGGGTGAAAACAGCAGCCTTATCAACTACAGACTATAACTATTACAATTTATCAGCTTTCATTTAAAGCCAAAACGGTACTTTGCAATGAATTACAGCATTCTTGGAGTGGCGTCACAACCTAAATGCCGATTATGCCCCCACTCTGATCATAATGTAACCTGCTACTGATATCTAAAGGATAACCTAACATGTTATGTGAAATATGCACAGGAATTTTTTGATGATTGGATGTTTTGTAAAGGCATACATTGCTATACTAGTATATACAATTGAGTATTAAGGATATTAATTGTTTCCACTTTTAAACTACCAAGTTGTAACTTGGAGTTTCTAATGAAGCTTCAGAGCATTTCATAGTTTTAGTACAAATACTGCTTAGACTGTAGCATGGACTACTGCACCACAGAAAAGAGAAATTTAAGGATGAAGGTGAGAAACTCACAGAATCATGTATACATACCTGGCATGTTTGACTTTTTTAACAGTAAATTATTTATAAATCTATGAACCAATGGCCAAGTGAGTCCTGAATTTAAGTTTAGTTGAATTTACTAAATAAAGATCATCATAACATAAAGTAACCTTTATTTCTCTAAGAAAATCTGTAAAACCTATTTTGGCTAGAAATTCTATCCATTCAGACACAGCAGGAAGTTAAATGTGTTGGCCTTTTTTTTATGATTCATATCCCTCAACAACTCCAATCAAATCACTGCTTCACCCACAAAAATCAAAAGACATTCTTTAGACTCCATACTGAGGTACAGT